TGGGGGAGACTTTTTAGGACATTTTGACACTTGGATTTTTGGACAAAAAATATTTTTTGCTATAATGGGTGTTGTTAAAGATAGATAGATTTCATCATATGAGAAGTAAATATTTATCGCCTTTGCCTGAAAAAGGTATCTATTCAAATCAAATGAAGTAAATATGAGAAGTAAATATTTTTCTGAATGTAATAAGTCACTCATTTAGAACATCTTAATATAATAAGTCTATAGCTGCAAGGCTGCAACTCCTAATGATCACTAAGCACGCACCGGCGTCCGGCTATATGCCAGCCACACAGAGGTTTCTAAAGTTTCTAATCACTCCTTTTTGCCATCAAAATTTTTTTGAGGCTTTTAGCCTGTTAGCAATGCATTTGGCCCTGAAAGTTGAACAGTGAGAAACATAAAATCTAACGAGCATCGCATTGATCGGCAAATGAAAATACTGAGAAAATCAAACTTTCAGAAACATTGTTTCGAGTCATTCCGTGATCAGGATGCCAAGAATATGTTGAACCAAACACAGAGCGCTTTGGAATTAATTAGGACAAATGAATTAAGCACCAACATGATCACAATTTATGCACCGCATATACGTCAATGAACAAATTCAAGCCACCATGTAAAAATTTGTAGGAATATTTTGTAGTACTTCCTTCCATCCCATAAAAATAAATCACACTGAGAAATATCTTAATAATTACTTTTAGAACTGGAAGATAAAAATTATAAAATGACTGTTATTTGAAACTCTATAATCTTGGAATCTAAGGCGGAGGAGGATGGGGCTGCACCTCCGTCTCGGGCGAAGGAGGAGGTAAATTATCGAAGAAATGATATAGCTTGGCAAGTCTTTGAAGACATTGATCCCATCCAACCCCCCAATAAACTTATATAGTGGTAGTACTACTCCACAATTCAAACGGAATCCAACTCCATAAGTGTGCAATATCTTGTGATTCTGCTTTTCTCATTTCGTGTGACTCAAAACTCAATTATGCATACGATGAAGATCCCACAAATGATGCCCCCCCATAAGGATAAATTCAAACCATTTTTTGGCCCTTTCTTACCTCCAACATTTAATATATATATATATATATATATTTTTAAACGGTTGAAAGCTAGCTAGAGGAAGAAAATGTGGGGGGATACGGAGGAGGAGAAAGAAGAGAGGAATGATCTTCGGGCTCTGGACACGGGATCTCATAGGTGGAAAATTCAAAAGTGGGTTCCATCGCGCCAAAACCTTTCTTGGCCGTTTAAGTTAGCGCTATTTCAGAATCACTACTCAAAAGCAGATGATATTCATCAACAATTACTGTACATGTCTCTCAACTTATCAGAATCAGTAAATCATAATTGGCTGTCCCATCCACTAATTAATGATAGGCCGGGAATTCCAATCCCGCCATAAATACTGAGCAATTCTTTTTTTAAAATAAATAAATAAATAAATAACTTTAACATTTTCGTCTAACCCATCAAAATATCTACAAAAATTAGCAAAGGAGATTAATTACTTGTTGTCGACCATGCATGAACACTTACTATATTAAAAACAAAAACAAAATTAGCGGCACTAGGTAGTTCTAATCGAATGAATTTAAATCACCGCATTAATCATAGTAGGACTAAAATACAAGTGTTTAATTATGCGTTTTTGTGCTCTTTGTACATATATATATATATATATATTTACAAAAGATCCAACAATTTCATTGTCAAAGTTTACTCTACTTTTTTTAAAATGAAAAAAAAACGTAAAAAAAATACTAATCTTTTCTTCAGAACCAATTCGTGTCCTAACAATGTTAACAAGTTAAAGGAAAATACCATAAAAAAAATTACTAATCTTTTCTTCAGAACCAATCCTTATGTACTATATAGGATAATCCCATTGTGTACTAATTAAGTTGCCTGAGTCTAATATTGGATGAGTTGGAGTAAAATTTTTATTGACATAGTGATCACAAACCTTTAGTCTATTAACTTGAAAGCGATGGTGCCATTCGTGTTCCTCATGCAAGTAAATTTGTTATGTATATAAAATAGATTATTTTTCTTCCCATAATTAAACGGTTCAATAGGCTGCAGATTAATCTTTATAACCAGGTGTAATTTTTCTTTCGAAAAACTCTCTTTTTAATCTAATGGTTAGAGAGGGCGTGCCATTTTGATATTGTAAACTACACAAACTTGTGTATACAAGATATCATCGTTCGAGTTAGGCCCTTACAAGTTGCGCGTTTCCAACTGATCAACTCGAAGCAAATCTATAAAAGAGAGCTCATATCATCGTTGGAGTTCATATGACAAACCTGAAATCGTACTTGTACTGATTTCGTCTTCTTAACCGATGACGGTGCCATTTGGATCAGCCTAATCAAGATTTTCAATTGGATCAATCAAATTCAACGATAAATGCATTTGCTGATCATGAGGCCGTAATTTCATACAAAGTTTAACCAACATGGATCGGAAAATTAGAGTGCTGACAAAATGAAAGCTTCAACAACGCATTAATTGTGGTGTTAGGGATCAAAGCTATAATTTACTAGGAGATTAAGGTAGGTACTTGATTCAGTAACACGGAATTTCTTGAGATTCGGTTCCACAGGCAACACTTCCGACTTCACGTCATACCCCTGTCTTTCCTCTTTCTCATCCCGGTTTGAATTCTCTTGAATCATCCCCGGTTCCAAACGGAGTGCTTCCGGTTTCTCATCTCTTAGTCTCATCATTTTGAACCAAGATTTTTCTTTTTGGAGTAGTTGATGCGACATGGGTTCAAGAGTAAAAAGAACTTGGTGGAGTACAAAGTGATACTTATTAGTAAACCCGTCATAATTGACACGCCTATCGTACTGTCACGGTCTACCGAGTAAAATATCAGCATAATCAAATGGCAAAACATAATATATCCCTTCATCGGCATATTCGCCGATTAAAAAATTCACCTTCACTTCCCTTTCTATCTTCATCTCTCCACCGTCAAAACATAACAGTCGTCCAGGTTGACGCAGCGTGGTGGTTGGCAATCCCAATTTCTCCACAAAATATTGGCTCGCCCAGTTACAATGACGCCCACTATCAATCATCAACAAATCGGCCTCGTTTTGAACCATACAACGAGTATAAAAACAAGTGGTGCGTTGATCACCACCATCATCAGCAACCATTGATTAAATACTAGAAGCCGCAGCCATGGTGTGTAAATTTACCCTACTCTAAACTTTCGCATAGGAGTATCAAAGTGCTTTTATCATCATCAAAGAAAATCTAAAACTATATGGCGTACCACCTGGATTCTACAACACAAAATGTACTAACATTACCATACAATATGATAGTGCAATATTATGCGAGACCGGTAATCCACCCGAAAAAAGGGGAAAAAAATAAAATAAAAAGGAAGAAAAATTGGTACTCAATTAAAACAAAGTGAAGTATTTTTGTTGGGACAGAGGCACGGAGGGATTATATAGTAGTGTGATTCATGAATCTACAAATCTGTACATCTACACTAAAACAAAATTTGAATGTCTTGGTTATATGATTTTATGACTAGTAAATGTGATTGATGAAAATTCATGAAAGGTGCATTTACCTTAATAATTACTAGATGGTAAGAGAATGATGAATTTAAGCAAACTATATAATTGAGTACCATATTTTGAAGTTTTTGGCATTGATTGATTGATGAAAACCGATGGAATAAGGACCACAAGTTGATGACTATTAATGAAAATTAGGCAAAACTGCGGAGCAGATAGATCATCTTTCAATTTTCATGCCAAAAATAATTCATTTCATGACACGCGCGCGTACACACACAGACACACACACACACACACATATCCACCATTTAACCGATTCATTTTACTTTCATCATATATGAGAAGTACATATTTATCCACCTTTGCCTCCAAAAGGTATCTACTCAAATCAAATGAATAATTTATCCTGAATGTCCTCCTTTAGAAAATCTAATTGATAATTAATGACTCTATAGCTGCAACTCCTAACTATCACTAAGCCCGTATTGGCTATTTTCCTGTCATAGAGGTTTCTAAAGCTTCTAATCACTCCTTTTTTACCATAAAATATTTAAGGCTGTTAGTAATGCATTTGGTGCTGAAAAATGAACAGCGAGAAACAATAAAATCTAATGAGGTTCGCATTGATCGCAAATGAAAATATTGAGAAAATTACTTTTAGAAACATTAATCCCGCTGATTAAAGCTCAATAAAACTAGACATTAAGTTAGGTGTTGAGGTCATAAGTAAGTTAGTTGTCTCGTATCGGTATCTCGAGCAATAAGTCAAGAAATCTATCACCTTGAGGTGGATTCTTAATTATTTATTGCGTTCAACATTGAAACTCTATAGCCTTGGAATTCCTGACAGTAGGTATTCATTTTTAAAAAATAGTTCAATTTGAAAAATTAAAATATAAAAATTAGATAATTTAATATTACAAATTAATATTAATCAATTTAATGATCCATTTTAGGTTATACTAATCCTGTAGCACAGTTTATTCACCATATATGCCAATGAACAAATTCAAGCCACCACGTAAATAGTATGAAAATTTTGATATCGTAATATTTATTTTTATACAGGAAAATTAAAAATATAAATGACACGGTTATTTGAAACACTGTAATCTTAGAAAGTAGGTCGAAATTATATGAATTGACATTGAATCAATATTCACATCATTTGACTATAATTAATCAAACCAGTGATTACGAAATGATATTTATCATTATAAAATTAAAAAAAAATCCTAGCATGACGATAATTCTATAAGCAAATTACTTCAGTTACAAACATTCTTTAATGGGCTTTTCCAGTTTGACGGGATTGATCGATAACTCTTGCATATAGTTAGGTGTCACGCCCCTGGACTTAATTGCAATAATTAGAAGTATAGAGATTAGATTGTAGTTTTCATAAGTTGGTAGGAGTAGTGTATTCGTGTCAGATTCAGATTATCGAAAATATTGTATCAAATTGGATATTTCCAATTTCCCTTTTCTTCTCCGATTTCTCTTAACTTCGAACCCTAGATTTTCTCCGGCTACCTTTAATTCTCCCTTTCTGCTTTCCGGCCACCTCCCTGAGGCCCCCGGCCATGACATTTAGTATCAGAGCGGTCCTTCCTCGGCCGTCTCTATATCGATTTCACTGTCCGATTCACCCTTTTCTTCCCCTTCTGATTCGAACCCTCTGAAAGTTTGAACTCTGTTTCTCTTCCTCCTCATTTTTGAACTCTGTGCGTGATTCTCCATTTTCTCTGATCGCACCAACCCTTAATGTTTCCGTTTTGTGCCGTCCCGCCGCTTAAACGATGGGATTCTTCCTTCCCGAAATTTCTAGGGCCGAAACCTTACTACATCTTCCACCCTCTGAAGCTTTTCCCTTAGTTCCGAAACCCTATGGTCTTCCAAAACCTTCGCCGTTCGGAGTTTACATATTCTCCGGTGAAGACATCAGTGAATGGCTTGACCGAATCGATCAATTTTTCTTCTATAATCGAATTCCCCCTAATGAGAAACTCTTCACAACCTCTTTTAACATGGCCGGCGATCCTCTCCAGTTCCTACATGGTATGGGATGCACGTCACAATTGGAGGATTGGGAAAAATTCGCCGACCAGTTGGAGCTACGGTTTGGTAGATACATCCGACCAACCCTAAGGATTAATGTTTGGGAGGCGTCAATTGAAGAGGTTTCAGTCACAGAGCCCTCGTTTGAGGAATGCATAGGGTGTAAATTAGCCCTAGATGGTGACCAAGGAGGAGTATTGGTCACCGGTGTTGAGGAAATTGATGAAGTTGTTGCGGAGAAATCCGAGGGGAAGCCAATCAATGAGGCGCCTGATGAAAATGAACCTTCTGGAAGCAAGGCGGAGATGGATTCGTTGGAAATCGAAGTCTCTATTTTTCCGTTTGAAGCTTCAAAGTCTGATAAAGAAGGTAACATCGCTGATCCTCAGGATATTTCAGTTGTAGTGATTGGAAATCTTGATGTAGAAACTGAAAAAGTTGTGGAAGGTTAAAATGATAGTAACGTTGTTGAATTTGGTGACTGTAATTGATTTTTAATGAGATGCTGCCAATGGATCAGTTAAATGGTGTCTTTATTGAAACTGTGTGTGACTCTGATTGTCTAATTGACATTGGTACGGGTTTAGAATTGATTGATGATTGTGCTGCATTGCTGGTTAATTTTAATCATGTTTGGAATGGTGGATTTTGGCCAAAACTCATTTCATGTTGAACCCGGGGGGATTAGAATGTGAAATTAGTGTTGATGGTCTGTTTGATGCGAATTTTATAACTGGTATAGATCGAAATGTTGTGGAGCTAGAACCAAGTGTTTGGAATGTTGATTTCTTGAGCTTAAACGATTCTGTTGAATATGGTGGATTTGATGTGTCTTCTAGTGTTGGAAATCCAGTCAGTGTTAAAGGGTCGTGTCTGGTTGATGATAAAGGGGTGCAATTCTGTTGTAATGAAAAATCATTTCATGTGGATCCTGGAGGAATTGAATGCCCTGTTAACGTTTATTGTACTAAAAATTATGTGTATTCTGATGATCATTATGCTTATGCTCCACTAAGTGATGATCGTATAATTCTGGATAAGGCTGAAAATGATGCTGTTTTGGTTCTTTTTCGTGAATTGAACAAAGCTGTGAACAGACCTGCCTATAGTAGTGTTCGTATGGTTAGTTTGAATGGTCTTATAGGGGCAAGTTTTACTTCTGTTGGTAAAGATGTGGAGTTTATTTGAATCAAAATAGTAATGTTGGTTCAGACATGTTATTAAATTCTTTCATTACTACAAAACATGACTATCTCTTTGCAATCGACCCTGGAGGATTAGCGTATTCTGTTGATGTGAATTTGTTCTCTGAGAATCCTCTTGTTGATATCACCTATGAACTTTCTTTGATTACTGAAGTTAATTTTGCGCTGTATTATAAGTTAAATGGTGATTGAGTTGAGTTTGAAATGGTGGGAAATGTTGAATCTGAAATGGGGATCAGTATTAGTGGGAATCATGCTGTGACTATAAGAAATTATGTAAGTCCTTTTGCTATTGATCCCGGAGAAATAGTTACTTATCTAATTATTGGAGCTGTGGAGTATAAAATCTATATGAACTCTGAATTTTTGGGAATTAAAGCTATTTGGGTTAGAAATGTGGAGTTTAGTTTTACTTTCATATGTGATTTATACTGCTTCAACAATATAAGAGTTTTTCTTGGCTGTTTGAGTTGCTGTGGTGTGAATGAAAATTTTCTTGGTATTGAAAGTTCATTTGAAGATAAGGGAACTGCTGCTTCTGAAATGGAAACAGTGGTATTTGGTAAAGTGTTTTGCCTTGATTTATTTGATAACTATCCATACACTGTTAGAGATTTTGGATTGCTCCTTACGGGTTTTAGAGAAGGTACCGTAATCTTACATGTGAAGTTTGATAAAATTGATATTGTTGGGTATGTATGGCATGACCTGTGTAACTGAGAACATAAGTGAACTCCTGGCTGCTTTAGTAATCATACTCTCAGGAGATGTTATCTTTCAAGAGCATGTCGGGTTGTATGACTGGTTACATAAGGCCACTACTTTCAAAGGAGGATCTTCGTTATATAGAAAACAGAAATCTGTTTTTTACTTTATTATGATGTTCTTATCAGTTAGCTGGAGATACAAAAGCCTTAGGCCAAAAAAGAGGGGAGCTTATGACATTAACATGATTGGAACTATTTTTGCTGAGAGGGCCACATTTACTATGTTTATGCCATATTTCTCCTATTATTATAGTTCACCGTGCATGTTCCTAAAGCGGAAGGGAGCTGAAGCAGATTTCAGGGAGCAATATGGTAACATGATCTTTGACAACTTGGCTAATGGGGTTAATCATCAACATCATTGTTGCTGTGTAAATGTGTCTGTTTTCCAAGGTGATACTGGGTTAAACCGTCATGAAGCTCATTTTAAATGTTGTTTGTTTGGGAACTTTATTTTGGGTCTAAGGAATTACAGCTTACTGTCAAGTTGCTTTGAGCAAACGCAGGACTACGTGATCTTAAATGAAGCAAAGAACATCGGTGGTAAAACCTTCAGCAGTAGAGTTCTTTCTGGTTGGTTAAGTAAGGAGGGTACTTTATACAGGGAAAGTCTGGGTGCTGGAAGCATAACAGCTGATCAGAGTGGCACTGTTGGCTTTTGCATCAGCACTGTTGCTAAAAATTAGGAATTGGATGCTCAAAGTACACCACCATATGAAACGAGTACTATTTGGGATCCAAGAATATTTGTCAGAGAATTGGAGGGTGCTGAAATGGCTTTTAGAGAAATGACCAGGGAACACCAACGCTGGACTCGAGTTGCAACTGATTTGAAGGATAGTACCTTGCTGGTGGAAATGGAAGCTCTGGTTCAAACAACAATGTGTTCTAGAGACAGGATGACTTTTCTAGAAGTTAACACGGAACCTATGATATTCTCCAATGACTCAACTCTTGTATGGATGATCGCTTGGTGCAGGTGAGAAGAGTTAAATGGCTGCTGCTCTTCAGTTCAGAAGAAATTGCTGCAAGATGTTCCGCACCAGCATTTAGTGCATTTCATTTTGTCCCTGCTTTGTTTTCAAAGTCATCCGTGAATGGTCTTATTTTTGTTTGATGTCTTAGTTGCTGTGTAGGTCTTTTTGTTCAAGATTGTAATGAGAGTATATAATTGTGATCACAGTCTTGGGGACAAGACTGTTTTAAGGGGCGGGGTTTTTCACGCCCCTGGCCTTAATTGCAATAATTAAAAGTATGATTATATTGTAATTTTCATAAGTTGGTAGGATATCAATAGTGTATTCGGGTCAAAAACAGATTATCGAAAATATTGTATCAGATTGGATATTTCTAATTTTCATTTTCTTCTCCGATTTCTCTCAACTTCGAACCTTAGATTTTCTCCTACTACCTCTAATTTTCCCTTTCTGTTTTCCGGCCACCTTCCTGAGGCCCCCGGCCATGACATTAGGCTAGACGTAACGGACGTCTAATACAAGCCTGTATAAGTCAATGAAGCCCAACATCGGATCGAGTCGTAATGGAAGAACACATTGTATAACCGAACTAAACTAAACGATAAGTTCTTAAGATTAGACAATGCTAATCACAGTGGAGTAATTAACTATTAACACAGTAAATTCAATTTGTCAACGCAGCCATTAATATATCACATATGTAACTAGTATGTTGCACCAAGGGCACGGCATTTCTAATTGTGTGAAGAAAGCTGTGGAACTTTTAGTTTCGCAAAAATCAATGCTAGGGGAAAGAAAAAAGAAAATCAATCAACGTTGATGTAGCATATTCATTTTTCAATCGATAGTTTGAGCAATTTTTTTTTTTGTATTTTTTTTGTCATTGTAATGATATATATCATATGACATTACTCCGTATTACAAAATGATGATTATTTCTTTTTCGATGTTAGATGTTATGATTTTATTTGCTGGATAATTTGAAAATTCATCTTTCACAAGTACTAATATCCAACAAACTAGTGTTAAGAACTATTAATTAGCATTTCATAATTCATATGTCCCAAACTCTCAATTGAATAATTGCCACAAATTTTTTTTTATCAACTTTTTTTAATTTTGGAAATAATAAAATTGTTTTGTAAAAATTGAATAACAATGAAATAATGCGCTAAAATGAATTTTATTATATTCTATCGATCCCAAAAACATTTTTAATAGAAAAAAGGTTACGATTATTAAGTGCGAATGTACATGCTTCTTACTTAATTAAATTCACACATCATTAACAGTGTGAAATTCACTTTTAAAAAATAGTTGAATATTCATCCTACGCACCTACAAAGTAGTACTAGTACGTAAAAAGAAGTCCTAAATCATGACTAGTTGTAAAATTGTACAAAGTCAAAATGGTATGGGAATGATAGAAGCAACAACGATCTGAACAGTTCAATACTCCACACGAGATTAATCGACGGTCAGAAACACAAAAGTGACAGCATTAGTGTAAAATTGGAAGATCTTCAGGAGTCTTGTTTGTTTCCTTACATCAAAAGCATTGTGAATAATAAAAAGAACACAATCAATAAACGAATTAGCACTTGTAGTCGTAATACAATCAAAATAGAGGTTTGCGCTGTTACCCGAAGCAAAACCTCTCTCCCTTATATCCCTTATTTTTTCCAATTCCCCCAAATTTTCCCACACACTCTCTCTCTCTTGATCTGTGTGTTTCTCTCTCTCACTGCACTTTGAGTTCACTCCAATTCCATCAAATTGGATCTCACTCGGATCGCTAGGGTTTACGGAATTCCTTCTGTCGGTTCCGATTCTAGTCAGTTAAAATGGTGAGCTGATTTCCTATTAGATCTGATTAATTCGTTATTCTTACACCCATAGTGATTAGTTTGCGTATCGATTGCATGATTTCATTGGCGGATGTTCTGTAATTTCCTTTGCGATTTGAGATCTATTGCCGCGAGCATTCGACTAATGCGATTCTTTTTCTCGTCTTTTTTTTTTTTTCTTGTTCTCTAATTGCGTCTATGGTGGTGGCGGTGCAATCAGCCTCTCAGACTCGAAATCAAGGTATGCGGAAACCGCTTTTTTTCATCATTGTTTGTTTTAACTCTTGATTGTTAATGTAGCTCGGCGGTTAGGAATTTCGTTACTGTGTGAAATATTCACCTGTTGAGCGTCGGCTATTTGTAGATTTGGGGAATTTGCTTGTTACAGTTTACTCTAAATCGTTTTTGTGATTATGTTTTTGTGTAAGCATTTTGTGTATTTGACTTTTTTTTTTTTATTTATTGTGATCAGAGGAAGCTTGCTCAAAGATCCGAAAGAGTTAAATCTGTGGATCTACATCCTACGGAGCCATGGTAATTATGACATTGTTTGATATTTATTCTGATCAGACACATTAACAGGATGATTTGTTGTTTGCATCACTCCTGCTCACTAATGTTTCTTTGTTTGTTGTTAGGATACTGACAAGTTTGTACTCGGGGGCTGTGTACATCTGGAATTACCAGACTCAGGTATGACCTGCATCAATGTTAATGCACAGTCTTCTGTGTGTTAGTGAGATTTGATTTCCAGTGTTTCATTTCCCTGACTGATAGGTATACATTATATCCATGATGCATTGATGATTTTGATGTTAAATTGCTGCATTGATAATTTTTTATTGTCTTCAAGGGTGAACATGCATGTGTTTTGAAGGAAACCTTTATGAAGCATCATTGTTGTTTATTTCAGTTACACTTTCTATTTCTTCTTTGTCTGTGTACTTCGTTTCGAGATTTAGGGTCTTACATGGTCAATTGTGTTACAAATTCTGGAGCAATTTAGGCTGTTTTGGATTCTAAATTTGCTATCACTTGCCGTATCAAATGTTTTGCACCTGGAATAACGAGCTGGTTGCTATTTCCAATTACTGCAGACACAGGCTAAATCCTTCGAGGTCTGCGAACTGCCAGGTGCCTGAGTAGTGTTTTAATTTTATGCTTTAAATCTCTCTCCTTCTAAGTGTTATTTCATCCGCACCGGTGAGAATGTTTTCTAACATCTTAGAGTTATCTTGCAGTTCGATCTGCCAAGTTTATAGCACGTAAACAGTGGGTTGTTGCTGGTGCTGATGACATGTTTATCCGTGTTTACAATTACAACACGATGGACAAGGTCAAAGTCTTCGAGGCACACACAGATTATATTAGATGTGTGGCTGTCCATCCTACTCTTCCGTATGTGCTTTCATCTTCTGATGACATGCTTATAAAGCTTTGGGACTGGGAAAAGGGATGGGCGTGCACTCAGATCTTCGAGGGTCACTCTCATTATGTGATGCAAGTGACTTTTAATCCAAAAGATACTAACACTTTTGCTAGTGCTTCTCTTGACCGAACTATAAAGGTGGGTTCTTTTTTTTTGTTTTTATTTTTATTTTTCCTTGTTAGTAATTGGTTTATATTACAATTCAATCTATAGTTTGGGATTTTAAGCTTGTAGTATATTTCTGTAGATTTGGAATCTTGGCTCTCCTGACCCAAACTTCACCTTGGATGCACATTTGAAAGGGGTCAATTGTGTTGATTATTTTACTGGTGGTGATAAACCTTATTTGATCACCGGTTCAGATGACCACACTGCCAAGGTCAGCTCTCCTTTGTCCCCTCATCTTTCTGATGTGTAGGATTTTATTGGACTATACTGGTTAAAATTGTTTTCAATTCTGTTTCTCCCTTAGGTTTGGGACTATCAGACGAAAAGCTGCGTCCAAACACTTGAAGGCCACACACACAATGTTTCAGCTGTTTGCTTTCATCCTGAACTTCCTATTATAATTACTGGTTCAGAGGATGGCACTGTCCGCATTTGGCATGCCACAACATACCGGTAAATTATGTTCCTATATGCTTTCCAATTAGGCTGTCTGGTTATCATGTTTTGGGCTTTGTTGCTGTTTTATTTTGCAAAAGTCTTCCTCTTTGAAATTTGGTCAGTTCTTTATTGACTGCGACGTGCACCCTATTCTCTAAATGGAAAGCTGGGTATATCTCTTATTACTATTCTCAGAATTACTGTATTTTATATATTGCTGAATAAATGGATTTGACTAGTAGAGACTATAGAACAATAACTAAATTAAAAATGGAAACAGAAGAGCATTTAAATTTAAATGAAATTATTTGTGGAACTACTGAGATGGTGACATATAGCCGATTTTTACATGGTTTGATAAAGTCTGGTTGGAGTATTAAGGATCGTGATTTGTCATTGCTCTTTATAACCGAAAAAATGGTTTCAGTTTTATCCGGACTTATGAATTTTCTGGTTCTTTCCTACACCTCTTTCAAGATTATTATTTCCTATCTTTTTGTACATTTTTGGATCATCTTTCCTCTTAGTATCCTACCTTTGTTACATTAAATTAATATCCATCTGCCTAATGCCATTTGTTTAACCGCCCTAATTATATTGGGTATGATGTCCTTTGTAACTTTTTTTACAGACTTGAAAACACACTGAACTATGGTCTTGAAAGAGTCTGGGCGGTGGGATACATGAAAGGTTCAAGAAGGTATGCTTTACTCTCTCGGTTATGGTGCTTATGATATTTATTTCTACACAAGGAAGTTGAGAAAAATGGTGTAACTTAAGGTTGGTTTGTGGTCGCATAAATGTTTTACAGTTTCTTCTTTTCTTAGGTAGTGTTTGTTTTGGAAACATGTTTCATAAAAATCTTTAGGGAAAACCTTCTTTTATGGGGTTAATAGGTGTGGCTTTTCAATTTGCCGGGAAGATGTAAATGAGAATTGGAATGAAATTTACAAGAGTCGCAACTTATCTTCGTTACAGCAGTCATTTGAATGTGTATGACTTTGTACAGGATTGGAATTGGTTATGATGAAGGAACTATCATGGTCAAAATAGGACGTGAGGTCCCTGTAGCTAGTATGGACAACAGTGGTAAAATTATTTGGGCTAAGCATAATGAAATTCAGACTGTCAACATTAAAAGTGTTGGAGCAGATTATGAGGTATGTTTTATTTTATTCTTGTATTAATTAATTTTGGTGTTAGAAGCATTTATCATTATTTTTATAATTTATGTAATTGTCTTTCAGGTTACTGATGGAGAAAGGTTACCTTTAGCTGTTAAAGAATTGGGGACTTGTGACCTTTACCCTCAGGTGAGTACTTATTTATTTGCACCAGTTGGAATTCCTTGTAAGTTATGCCTGATAGTTGTCAGTAATTAGTTTGTTACCAATTTGTTTTAAAGTTTCTCTAATACTATTGTGGATTTAATGGCTTTTATGTTGTATTCTTTTGATGATTTGCTTTTTAATCACATGAGGTTTATTTGCATGGCTCGTCTTTCATCTTCTTTCGATTTAATGATTGTCAGTTACCAATGTCAAGAGTGACATTCTGCAGAATTTAGTTCACTTCTTTTGTTTTCATCTTACTGCAGAACTTGAAACATAATCCAAATGGGAGGTTTGTTGTTGTTTGTGGGGACGGTGAATACATCATATATACAGCGTTGGCATGGAGAAATAGGTCATTTGGCTCTGCATTGGAATTTGTTTGGTCATCAGAAGGGGAATATGCTGTGAGGGAAAGTACATCCAAGATAAAGATCTTCAGTAAAAACTTTCAGGTTTGTGCTGATTAAACTATTGTTCTATTTCCTAGTTGGATTTGGATCAGATTTTGTGCTTCAACTGTATATCTGAAGAGAGCTACAGAGGCTGGAGTTTGTACTTTTAGGACAATTCTGAAGCATGACAGAATGCAAATTAATTGTTGTCCAAAACATTTATGTGATGGCTTTGCTATCCTGATTTATTTCATCTTGAGTCGTGCCACAAAAAATGCTTACAAATCTTTTATTTATTGCATTTGTAGAATAGATTGTATTTCTTGTTTGGACGCATTATCACTGAACTGTTTGTCATCCCTCCCTCCATGCTCATAATTGTTCAGCTAACTTTAGAATCTGGATACTACGGTAACACCAGCACATGGTGATTGATCTGAAAATGTTCTTTTTCAGGAGAAGAAAAGCATCCGCCCTACGTTTTCTGCTGAGCGCGTATTTGGTGGAACTCTCTTGGCAATGTGCTCAAATGATTTCATATGTTTTTATGATTGGGCTGACTGCAGGTTGATTCGACGTATCGATGTCAATGTCAAAGTACGGATGCCGTGGCCTTCTACTATTCGTTTCTTCATATTTCTGCTCTTTCTTTGAGATAATTTTCTTTTGGCTTTAACTTTTTCAGAATCTGTATTGGGCTGATAGTGGTGATTTGGTGGCCATAGCAAGTGACACATCATTCTACATTCTCAAATATAATGTAAGGCGTTTTAATTTGTTTGTACTGTAATTTTGCGAAGTTTTGGTTAGTCTTTCCTGTAAAGTTGATGTAATCTGGATTCTAATCTTGCAGCGGGATGTAGTTACTGCACATCTTGATAGTGGAAGGGCAGTTGATGATCAAGGTGTTGAAGATGCTTTTGAGCTTCTGTATGAAATAAATGAAAGGGTTAGGACTGGAATATGGGTGGGGGATTGCTTCATCTATAATAACTCTTCTTGGAGACTGAACTACTGTGTTGGTGGTGAGGTATGCCTTCTTTTTTCCCCCTATATAGTAACAGTCTGGGATTTGTAGTACTTCTGCAAGATGATGCCATTGAGCATGCGTGTTCTTTTTTTTTTTTTTAAAGGTCACAACAATGTTCCATTTGGACCGACCCATGTACTTGCTTGGATATCTTGCTAACCAGAGTAGGGTGTACCTCATTGACAAAGAATTCAAGTGAGTGGACTTGTGTTTTCCTGGTTGTGGGGACTAATTGTCCTTGGATTTTTCAAATTGAACATTGTCTTGTGCATTTTGGTGCAGTGTGATGGGGTATACTTTACTCCTTAGCTTGATTGAGTACAAGACACTTGTGATGCGTGGTGATATTGAGAGGGCAAATGAAATCCTTCCTTCCATTCCAAAGGAGCATCACAACAGGTTTGTGTCTCTCTACTTTCTTTGTGTTGGATGTTGTTGAAAAGTAGTTTTCCCTCTTACTGTTGTGAAAGTTTGTTTTTTAAATCCTATTTGTTAAGTTATTTCATATTTGAGTGCCAATTTAGCAAAATGGGTGTGTACTGCACTTCAACTGTCATTCCGAGACATATGCTCATACTCGTGTCAATTTGTCATAGGATTTGTATTTTGGTTTCTGCTTTATCCTGTATTATTCTGTTTTTGTTTCCCTGTTTGCGTTTCACCAACCTAAACATTATATGTATGCGTCACTTGGGGGCCATATTGGATGCATACTTGAGCACAATCTGTGATCATTTTCTTCCATGGGATGGGGTTTTCATAGGTTCTTATATGCTTACCGTTCTTTCTTTTTATCCCTGTCCCTTTTTGAAAGAAACTGTCAATGTTGCATATCTAAGATTTCAAGTGCATGATGTCAACTTGATCTCTCATTGATAGTGTGGCGCGCTTTCTGGAGTCACGAGATATGGTGGAGGAAGCATTGGAAGTTGCTACAGACCCTGATTACAGATTTGAGTTAGCAATACAATTAAGGAAACTAGAAATTGCACAGGTATCTACTCTGAAACTGTTATTTTGTGCAGTGTTCAGTTCTTGTTTGTTTTTGTGATTTTGACTTCTCCTGCAATGCGTTTCTTTTTCTTTCCAGGAAATCGCCTCAGTAGCTCAGAGTGAGTCAAAGTGGAAGCAGTTGGGAGAACTTGCCATGTCCTCTGGCAAGGTAACTGTGACCTTACACATCCCTGCTAATTTTCCTTGGCCACTATATCCCAGCTGGGGTGAACTTATAGATGATTTGCAGATCCATATGTGTACTCTCCCTATTCACTTGAAGAAATCAATCATCTGAAGATCCTATTCCCAATATATTTTCCACTTTTAAATGATTTTTGCAGTACAGTTACATGAAGTTGGTTCTTTCTATGCCTGACTTCTCAACTAAGCTTGTCTATCGAATATTCCCCATTTTGCAGTTAGATTTGGCCGAGGAGTGCTTGAAGCAGGCAAATGACTTGAGTGGTTTGTTGCTATTATATTCTTCATTTGGAGATGCTGAAGGCTTATCAGATCTTGCTTCTCGTGCCAAAGAGCATGGGAAGAACAATGTTGCTTTTGTCTGTCTGTTTATGTTGGGAAAATTGGAAGAGTGCCTCCAGTTGTTGATTGACAGGTATGTCTTGGATTTCTTTTCTGTGACCTTGCTTAACTATTATAGCTCAACCAATGTTCTCATGTAAACTCAATTTACAGCAACCGGATTCCTGAGGCTGCACTTATGGCGCGATCTTATCTTCCTAGTAAGGTGTCGGAAATTGTTGCAATCTGGAGAAGAGATCTTAATAAGGTTATATTTTAAAGACCATTATGTGTTTTATTAATTGTTGCATTTGGTTGAATGCTTTCGTCATATGTATCTTTTGATGTCCATGAAATAAGAATTATGTTTGAATTCTTGATTTGACTGAGGTTTTATGAACCTTTATCCTCTATAATATTTTACTCTATGCTTGTGTAAGTGTTTTTATCAACTATGAATTTGTGTTTACACTGACTTGAGTTATTCTGAATTAGTGTAGAGAATTTATCATCTATCATCCGTTCAAGTAAATGTCATCTTGTAATCTTATGTGTAATACCGTGTGGCAGGAATGTTGAACATCTGTATGTGAGGTAAATTAATAAAATAAAATGGAAGTGTAGAAAGGGCAATGATAAAGCTGAGCAAGAAAAGAAAGTTACGTATGACCATAGATTTTGGATTCTTGAATCTTCTGCAGATTCCTATTGCTTTTCACCAAGTTCTTTCGTTTTGTCTTAATTATTTGTAATCACTAAGAGAGTTTGGTTGGAGTGATTGTATAGTCCTTTGATTCTTTTCTTATGCCTTTCCATATGGTGATGGTAGCTATTTTCCTTGTCCTTAATATTGAATAAATCGGATATGCTTTCAGGTTAACCAGAAAGCTGCTGAATCTTTGGCTGATCCTGAAGAATATCCAAATATGTTTGATGACTGGCAAGTGGCACTCGAAGTTGAAAGCAAAGTTGCCAAAACAAGGTGTCATATTGCCACTTTTTCCTCATATTCTTATTATTGCTTTCTGGTTGTCAGTTTGAGTATCTTGAGTTATCGATTTGGAGGAGAAGACCAGTTTATGTGCATGTGATATCTCCTCTCAGACTGCTAATGCAACCGTGTCTCCTTTTTGCTCATCACGTGTTAACTTTGATCCTTTTTAGGTTTAACTATCCTCCAGCCAGTGAATACTTGAACCATGCTGAGAGACCCAACATCAGTCTGGTTGAGGCTTTTAGAAACATGCAAATTGATGAGGAGCCGGCACTTGAAAATGGCGCGTTAGATCATGAGGTAGAGTTTCTCTCCTGTTCATGTTTAAATATCTGCTGTTTTTATTCATGTTTACATTGAATGTGACCATAGTTTTTTTTATTCTTGTCTGCATATTCCTATTACTTTTGACCAATTTCTTTTCTGCTGTTTGTGTTCATGTTTAAATTGAATGTGACCATAGTTTTTTGATTCTTGTCTGCATATTCCTAATACTTTTGACCAATATCGTTTCCATTGTCTTAATTACTTGTACTCGTTATGACATTTGAGTTTGGAATGATTGTGTTATTTGTAATCATTATGACATTTGAGTTTGGTTGGAATGGTTGTGCTAACTTCTCTGGTAAGTTGCTACATGTCTTACTAACTTAAGAACTGATTATTGAGCTCTTTACATCTCCTATTCCCAATCAAAACTTTACGAAGATGTTAGGAAGTGCTATTATTACTCTTTTTAGTGGAAAGTCCAAATATAATATACTGCTGCTTTATTCTTCCGATGGTAGTCTCTAACCTTTGCCTTATGCTATTGGTCAGGAACAGAATGGTGATGAGTTGCAGGAGGAGACAGGTGATGCAGAAGAGGACAGGCAAATAGAGGGTCAAGAAGAGGCTGTTGTGGTGGATGCCGAATCGACAGACGGTGCAGTACTCGTTAATGGCAACGAGGCTGACGAAGAGTGGGGTACGAATCATGAAGGAAAACCGTCAGCCTAAAAGCAATTGGTTGGGCCGTTGTGAAAATCCTAGTTTTGTTGCTGGTGATTAATTGATATCTTTTAGTTGCAGTGTTTGAATGTAATTTTTTCTTTTTTTTTTGATGTGTTTTTTGTTTGTTCGTTCCTCTTCTATTTGATCATAAGATGGTATATTTTACGTAATGATATTATTTGGGTCATTTCCGCTAAGATATGGTTAATTTTAACAGTAAGTAAAAATTAAGAACTGGATGCTCTGTGAATTGCTTATGATTGGTTTCTGGACTAAGGTCAGTTAAAACAATCAATTATGCATGTAGGTTTTGGTAATGCATTCTTTTAGTTAATGCCAAAACGACGTGAGATATTTATTACATGTGATGACAGGTAGTGTGGTTATAGTAAACACTTAGCAAAATGTGATGGTGCCTAAAGAAAATTCCTCTCATTTTAGATCCTTTACTAAAGCCTTGTAATTAACATTTATGTGAGACTTTTGATGTTTGAACCATGATTTTGAGATTCTGTCTACAACATCAAATTTATTAATAATGTTTAATTGATAATTCGCTCTTGTGAGGTTAAAAGAGGAACAGTATATGTGTTGCACTTTCCTGGGCTGACTTTCATATATTGCAAGGAATGCCCTGATTTGAGGTGGTAGTCTGTTAAGATGAATGGGGCAGTTCTTTTGAAAGTTCCTTTGATGAATCCCTGCTTTCCAACTTGTTAGACTAGAATCTTCACTAAAACAACTTTTCTGATGCTCCTTGTCATTTTTATTTTCTGATTGACAGTGCTCACACCCCGTCATTAGTACCCTATCTGGACACTTGGTTCCTGCTGCATTTAATTTCTTGAGGTGAGTTAAATCATGCTTACTTCAAAGATGTTTGTACGGTATGCTGCTGTCATTACCTACATTTTCAATGTCATTGTTTTTGTGGATTGCTTTTTGGTTTTGATTTTTCTTCAAACTTTTGCTCACTTGGATTAGAGAAATGAGGCATAATTCTGTCTTGAACTTATTCACTTCGTGCCTCTGTAATCCCTGTTTTCAGTCCCTTGGTGGTATTTCCGTTCAAGTTGAGGCATGTAGTTCCCTTTGTGGGGAAACATTGTAGATGCTTACTGCTACTTGTACTATAATTTTATGAAATGACCAAAGCATTCATTTAGGTGTGTTAGCTAAACCTTCTATATAAGCTCCATGTATCGAGAACAAGCAAATCTTTTACTATTACTTAACATCTATGATTAATTAGGGGGAAAGTCATATGCATCTTGATGAAGGTTCTCTGTACCCGTGTTGTAATTGCGTGAGTTTTAAATTTTGGCATCTCCCCTTGTTGAAAGTTCTTGCATATTTCTTTGTGAGTACTATCAAACTTTTACTGTCCAGATAATGTTTGTTTCCTGCTTATATAGTTGGGTTCAAATCAGAACCTTCAGTGTCGTCGGAATTCACTACAGTATTAGTTATGTCGGCTTTCATTTAACTTTGTTTTCCCCTCAGCAAGAAATTTGATCTTATTGCTATTGTCCCAGGTTTAAAAGCAGAAATGGGAGAGAGAGAAGAGTAGGAGGGAACCTGGTGTCTCTTTTGTTGGTGGTGTGATCTAATGTAGCAACAATGATTTTTGTCAGGACGTATACTGTAGACAGTGGTTTAAAAGACTTAAATTAGTTTAGTCGCTTACAGCTTGATTTTAATTCTTTTGAGGCATCAATTTTTCCATGGAATTCATTTTGCTCCATTGTGAATGTAAAACAGATAATATCAGGTTGAGAATACCCCTTTCACGCCTATGGAATGTTGTATACTTGTGTTCATTTGGAGTCTGTCTTACACATACTTCTCATTTGGAGGAAAGAAATCAGTTTGCAAGTCGAACACAATTGAGGAATAATTTACAAACAGGTGTAAGTTACCCGAAAATTTTCTCCATCAAGGGATCATGACTATGTGCATATAAGTATGTTTTTGTGCGTCTTATTTTCAAGCACATTGAGAACAGAAAAGTGTGGTTCCTTTTTTCTTAGTCAAAAGTCTTTCGAAATATTAAATGCATTATAGATAGGGAGTGCTGATTATGTGGGGTTCTAATTATGAAAATCAACTTGATTCTTGGCAAATCATCTAGCCACAGTCCAGCTAGAAAGAAAAATCAGTCCACTTAAAAAAAAAAAGAAAAAGAAAATCGTTCATGAACTATTTAGGCTGACGCCGTATTGGAATTTGGGTTCCCGATAATTATGTCATTACTAGTGAATACCCCATTTGCTTTGACGAAGGAGATAAATTTCAGTCGGTCCCTTTTTGTTTTGATCCAAAATTAGTTATACCAGTATGTCGGTTTACGTAAAAAGATGGAATAGTAGGCAAAATAATGCTACGTAACGATAAAAAACTTTCTATCTTCTTTTTGATATTAATTTGAAAATTGGTCGCATGCACCGTACCAGTGAAGTATTTTACTATTCTCTCGTGTTCTTATTGTAAGATAACTTAATTTATTTTAAATTTTATTTAATATACTTTTTTTAATTGAAAATAAAATATTAAAAATATTTTATAATAATTTAGAGAACATAATAGATATGAACATACAAATTTTAAGTTTTTATTTTTAATAAAAAGAATATACTATATGAAATTTGGGACAAAACAAAATACGTTATTATAAGGATTGAAAGGAGTATTTTTTAAAATGATAAATAAAAGGAGTACGGCAGAGGTATAATACAACTTACTTGTTTCTTTTCACAAGAGGCTTATTTGTGAATGAGAGAGTGACAATTTACAAGGATTGCTGTAATTTTAGTTCAAATCAATTATATACTTTTAAATATATTGAACTTCGAATGAAAAGTGTAAAAATGAATAAATCTGATATAATTCACATTATTTGTTCTCTAAATTGTTTCTCTTATGTGTCATTATCCTAATGCTCCTTCATTATTCTAATATTCATCTTATCCGAAAATAATTTTTTAATTTGGATTTCTATTAATACAAATAAAAAAAAATATAAAAGATAAGAGCAAAGAGATTATTAAATTAGTTAAATGCAATGCAATTTTCTTTTCGGTCAATTTCTTCTTCTTTTTTAACTAATGAAAAAATATGATTAAATATTTAAATGTACAACGTTGCACTGGTACTATACATGTTTATTAGAAGAGGACCTCTATTAATAAACATTAATAACTAATAATTTATGATTTCTTCCCCGTGATTAATTAATAGTAATAATTAATTAACACTAGAACGGTGCCACGAAAATACTCTTTTCTTAATTTATAAAGGGGAACGCGTAATACTGAGACGGTAAGAAGGGCCGGGGGCATCTGAGTGTACGCTTTTTTATACTGTGATATAGAGAGAGGGCCTAGGGTTCGTATCAGTACACAGTTCTAGACTTCTACTCCTCCCCTCCATTGAAAAAGCAAGCGCCGAGCGGGAGAGCATCTTCAATCTCATTCTCAATTCGGCGGTGCGGAAAAGGGCAACCTCATCCCCCCAACTTCCCAGGTTTCAATCATCAGCTCGTTGTTTCACTTCTCCCTCTCTTAGACTCTGATTTCTCACCATTTTATTGTTTCCGTTTCTTTCCTTTTTAGTTATTGAACTTGAGGTTACGCTTGTTGGATTCGTTTGATGTGGTTTTTTTGTGTGTGTTTGAATTTTTTACTTATGTAGGTTATGATTTTTGTGCAAAATTTCGTAAATTTAGCTGCTGATATCTTGAATCCCTTGCTTGATTGATTATGTGGGAAATAACATTCTTTTGCGATGCCGCAGTGTTTTCTTGGTTGAAAATTGATTTCCTGGGAAATTGAGTTTTGTTTGGTTACCTGAAACCCTTGCGGTGGAGTGGAAAATTCATTTATGCTTAATCTTTTCTGCCTCTTGACTTGCGTATGAACACAGTGAAACAAGTTCACATTTTGTTGCCTTAACAGGGGTTTTTATGCTGTTTTCAATGGATTTTTTTCCTTTCAATATTATTGATTTTGTTGGTTCTGGTTGTGCTCTTTAGTGCATTTAGAATGAGTTATCTTCCTTATTATTTACAATCAAGAAGCATGCAGCGAGCAGAGGAATAATTTGATCTGTGTTTGGGTTAGGCTTGGGGTTTCAGTTGTTCGTTAAGCATTAATTGTTACTCTTATTGCGTCGTTTCGGCTTTTGAGGGAGTCTGTTATGGTATACGTGGTCTTTTCCTGATTAGTCAACAGTGTCTTGCCGTGTCGCATCACACCTCTTTCCACCATTTGTTATTGGCACTAGTGCGGCTGTTGTATTCGTGTCATTTTGCTACATGCTGCATTATTTTGTTTTATTATTGCTTATTGTGTATCTTGCTTTGGAGCTCGTCAAATGCGATGTTTTTTAAATGTAATTGCTTCGAGTTTTTGGCTTCCAGCATTTTTATTTGTGTAAATGGATTTGTCTGGTCTTAAAGGAGTTTTCGTCTAGTGAGCCAACTTTATGTGTGGTTGATATGATGTACAGGAGCAGAATATTGATTATTGTCCTTAAAGTCCATTTAGAATTCATGTTTCCAATTACACATTGAATTTCATGGTTATGCTTACTGTCTCATGAATTTCCGCATAAAAGTAAATGGAAAATCTTCTTTGGAATGTTATCATCTTGTCAGTAACTTTTAAACTACCAGTAAACCCTTGTGATTTTTTACTTGTGGGTTTTTGGCTTACCAAAAATTTAGTATTCTTTGTTCCAGTTGTACAATGTCTTTGTTGATTTCCCTTCGCGGAAGATTTCCATTCACATTGTCTTTCTTTTCTTCAGTTGTTGTGGTAACATAGTTTTGACAGTTCGATTGTATTTGACTGCGGAAATTTCTCTAAAATATATGAATTTCATTATTTGTTACATATTCTACTTCATTGTCAACTTGCTTTTGAGATGTTGGGCAGGATGATGTTCAGGTAATTGACTCTTCACCTCTTGCTTTCCGCAGAAGTCGCTTCATTAGTGTCTGTACTTGTTAACCGAACTCTCCAATGGGGGATGGTGAGGGTGATTTTCAACCTTCAAAAAAGAGAGCAGCTGGAAGAGAAATATCTAAAGATAACCCTGGTCTTGATGACGACGAGGATATATCTGAAGCAGAAATGGGAACCTTCAAAAGGGCAAGTGATGAAGTTCTGGCAGGACGAAGAATTGTTAAAGTTCGTCGAAATCAGCCATCATCAGCCCAATCAGCTGCGCCTAATCCATTTGCAGGAATACGGTTGGTTGCGCCAACAGTACCTGCTGCTACTGCAGCTCCAGCCACTGCTGAAGCTAACAGTTGCAAGGATGCTGTGGAAGGTGAGGGGAAAACTGCTGGAAGCACTGAATTAAATGATGATGAGAAGAAGGATAAGTCAGAAAGCGACACTGGGGAACCAAATATAGAATCTTCCGCTGATAAGGAGAAGAATGACGGTGAAGATGGGCCGAAGGAACATGAATCCACCGATGAAAAGGCTGAAGTTGTAACAAATAAGGATGTGGAAGCAGAAAAGATCAAGAAGGATGCTGAAAGTGAGAAAGAAGAGGATGAAAATAAACCGAAGGACCGCAATGGGGACGCAGAGAAGAGTGGAGATGCAGAGAAGAGTGGAGACATGGAGAAAAGTGGAGATGCTGCACCCTTCAGCTCCTTCCATCAGCTTTCAAGCAGTCAAAATGCTTTTACTGGCCTCGCGGGAACTGGGTTTTCTGGCTCTTCATTCTCCTTCGGGTCAATTGCAAAGGAAGGTTCTTCACTGGGTTCTGGTTCTCTTTTTGGTTTGAAAAGCGACCAGCCTTCTTTTGGGTTTGGCCTTTCAAGCAATGGAAGCTCCTCTCTCTTTGCAACCTCCGATGCTTCGACAATTGCAAAGAGCGAAGGGAGTGGATTTCCTTCCAAGCAGGAGGTTCAGGTGGAGACAGGGGAAGAGAATGAGAAGGCCGTCTTTGTAGCTGATTCTGTTCTATTCGAGTATCTGGATGGAGCATGGAAGGAGAGGGGAAAGGGGGAGCTCAAAGTAAATGTTCCTACAACAGGAACAACGAAAGCTAGGCTCGTAATGAGGACCAAAGGGAACTTTCGGTTGATATTAAATGCTAGTCTTTACCCGGACATGAAACTGACAAATATGGACAAGAAGGGTATAACCTTTGCCTGTGTGAATAGTGTGAATGAAGGAAAAGATGGCCTTTCTACATTTGCTTTGAAGTTCAAGGATGCTTCGATAGTTGAAGAGTTCAAATCCAGTGTCATGGAGCATAAAGGGAAAACCCCTGTTGCCCTGAAGACACCAGAAAATTCTCCCAAGGCTTCCGATGAGTAGATGATGCTGATGTGTGAAGTTTGCATCTAATGTCCTGTCTCCAGAAGCTTCGTGTCATCCTTTTTGTTTACTTTTTTTTTTTTTTTTTTTTCTTTTTCCTTTTTTTCTTTAGAAACCTAGGGAGCAAAAAGACTGAAGGTGAGATGAGGGTATATCTATTTAGAGAGGTTGTCTTCTGTAAGGCGTTCAATGTGGTGGAGGAGATGATTCATAAGAATTTTTTTGTTGTCTCTGGAAGCTTTCGGAGCTCCCTCTTTCTATTTGGTTGTGCCTGACCTGTGATACAATATATGGATCTGAGATTTAATCATAGATTATATTATTATGTCGTTAACCGTGCGTTATGGCCCTTGTTAGAGTATTTATCATCTGATAACTGCTGCTTTTTCCTCAATGCCGGTCAACTGTGAAAAATTAAGTGTCTGCATTAATGCAGTTTCACAGGGTTCTCATTTTGTTGCGTCAATTGTGTGCTAGTTGGCAAGATCTGAGTTAGCTTATATATCAATTGTGTGCTAGTTGGCAAGATCTGAGTTAGCTTATATATCTATAATGTTGCGTTTGCTTATGATTTTGTATTGAAATGTAGATCATGTATATGTAAAATTATAGTAAATCATAGCTTCAGATTAATTCAACCAACTGGAGAGTTTCTGTAGATTCGATTCATGAGAAAATCTTAATAGAAACTTCGAACCTACATTGATCTGATAATGAAAAGACAAATAAATAATAAACTTTGAGCAAACACTCAATTAGGTGGCATAAATCTTCTAAGAAGACAATCAACTAGGGGGAATTTACTAAGGTAGGAACTAGGTTCAGTAACACGGGATTTCTTGAGATCAGGTTCCAAGCAGAGGGGCTTGGATTCTACTTCCTGCTGCCCTTCCTCAGATAGTTTCTTGAGATTGGGTTCCAAGCAGAGGGGTTTGGATTCTACTTGCTGCTGCTGCCTTCCCTCAGATAGTTTTCCTCTCAGTTTCATATTGGATTGCATATTGAACTCCCAGAGGAGGCATAGGAGGAAGAGTAAAAGATGCTCGCTGGAACACAAAGTGATAGCTGTTTGTCGACTCATCGTGAGTAACTTTCCGATCACAAAGCCATGGTTTACCAAGCACAACATCGGCCTTGCTCAGCGTCGGGAAAACATCACAATCTTGATCTCCTCACCGTTGAGGAGTGTCACTCGACGCGGCGGATGAAGTGTCGTGGTTGGCAATCCCAATTTATCCACTAGAAATCCACTTGCATAGCTAGCAGGCATCCCATTATCAATCATCATCAACCCTGCCTCGTTCTCGACCAAACAAGTCGTATAGAAACTAGAATAGCGTGGATCAACCCGACAAGATCCCCCTCGGACACGCGTGCGCCCCCGTCCTCGGGTACCACTCCGCAGACGAGGCTCAGCTTCAGCTTCTCCTCCGCTAGGTGGATCAACCCGACCAGGGCTCCCTCGAATACCACGAGGGAATCCCCGCCCCCGGATACCACTCGGCCGAGGAGGCTGAGGCTGACCTTCTCCTCCACTTGCCACCGCCGCCCATGAGGTCTCCGTATATCCGGTGTAGTTTACACAGGACGTAATCGGCGGCGGAGGTGATACCAAGATGCAGTATTCGATCATAGTCCATTGACCATTCGGTCCATTCCGCAGTGATGAATTTTGTTCAAATGGTTGGAAGTCGAAAGACCTCTTGTATCCTACTATCACACTACCGTCACTTACGGCCTCTTTTTCGGAGCTTGGGTGAAACTTCCACATTGATCCACCACTCGGTGATTAGGGGTTAGTTTCGTGAAGACGTAAACAAAACCCTGGTTTCCAATACAACACCCAGGTTTGCCCGGAACCTCCACACTATTACACCGAAAGTGCCCCAAGTATTTTTCTTTGGGCGCCATCAAGCTCCGGCCGAGCGGAAGACGGCTACTTCCGGGGGGTTTTCCGTCGCCGTACAGGTCTACTTCGGAAACGAGCTTTGATTCCCAGTCGGATAAGCAACCCAGAATCTTGTTCTTTAGGTAATAGCTGATTAATTCATCCTCCGTGGGTCTGAATATCTTTCTCATCATCGGTAAAGCCATCGTCATGATTGTCAGCTCCGGCCCAAAACAAATATTTTTACTGGTCTTGTAGGCGGCGGCGTGAATGCTGAGATGCCGGAATAATCGTAGGGACGGAGACCAGGCAACCCTATATATAAATATATATATATATATATATATATTACTATATTAGAAACAAAAACCATACTTTAGAGAAAGCACCGCCATTTACCATGTGGCATTTCCACATCATATTTTTAAAATAAATTTTTATTTACACATCTCCTAGACTTAAAAGGCAAATGCAGTCTAAATCCACCTTCGTCTCCTATTTTCGCAAAAAAAAATAAAAATTACGTGTTCATAAAAAAACCCAAATCCTCATCCTCATTTCCACGACAATCGACTCCCTAATCAATCCCTTCTCCACAATAAAAAAAAAAAAACAAATTTCTCATCAATCATCAATTGAGAATATGTAGTGAAATATACTCCTTTCTTATTACCATGTTAAATTTTTTCATTAGTGATGATCAACTACATCCTAATCTGATAAAATTTCGAGTTCAAAAAATATTCTCTTTACCTCACTATATAAAACAAAGGAAAAAAAAAATTCTCATTGATCTTGCTTCGGCCATTATGGTGGTGCCATTACAGGTATTAAAATGTAAATGATTTTATTTCCGCAGATCATTTGTTTGGCTTTTAATATTTTTTGTTTTTCCCGTTCAAGAATTGTGTTATTACTATTATTTTTATGCGTCTATCCGTTACAGCTACCATAGCCGTTGTCAGGTAATATAATGTGATTTCTTATATGGTTAGTTAGCCTAGAATTTTTGTATAATTTTAGTTCTGTTTGGATTGAATTGATTAATTGGATTTTTGTTACAAAGTGTGGTTTTTTAAATTTCTTTTTTATGTTTCATTCAATTAAACGGGTTTTCTTTTTTTTTTTTTAATTATGAAGTCTCAGGTTTTTTTTCGTATATGGTCAGTTATGAAGTGTGTTTTTTATTTGTTTAATTACTTTTGATTTTGTTTCATACTCCCAGTTGACCAATTATTATTATTATTATTTTATTTTATTTACAAATTAAGCGTTTTTTTTGGGTGTTCGGTCTTTCAAGAATATACTTTTTTGGATTTGGTTTTTAGACTTTTTTTTAGTTCCTCATCATATAAATAGTTCAGGTCACTTCTTCTAACTAATTTATAGGGAAGCTTTTTATGAATTTGAGATGGTGAGAGAAGGAATGATTTTTCTACGTTTATTTGTGTATTTATACATCATTTTTACCTACAGGAAAAAATAAATTTCTCAATTTTTAATGGGCTATCTATTACTTTCTTTCTTTTTTTAATTTGCCTTGGTGAGGTGAGTTCTTTTTTGCTATAACTTGAAACCTATGTAAATTTACATTATTTTCATTTTCATATTTGTGATCAATCAGTTTCAACAATTAACCAGTTTCAAAATCATATTTTTGATACTTTACTACCTATAAACTTTTGGAAGAAATAGTTTCAACAATTAAACGTATATCCTTTGGAGGAAGCTTACTACAAAGCTATTATAAATCTCCAAAACGAAGTATTGATTTGGCACAACCAATGGAGAACATCAATAAATTATCTTACTAATATTTAAACTTATGAGGATACTTTTATATTTAAAACATTAATTGAAAATGGGAAATGGAAATTAATAAAATTAAATTGACATGAATAATGAGTATTAATGCACCGTAATATTTCCTTCCCAAAAGAATTTTCAAAATTATGGAAAATTCAATCACAATTCCGACATTAATGACAAAATCAATAATTATTCAAAAATCAAAATTGTGCATGGAATCAAGTAAAAATCATATCCCATTATTAACTCCAAAATTAAAAAGATTCAATTGTGAAAAATAAAAACTAAATGATATCAATTTTTATTCGATCAATAAATAATATCAATTTTTATTCGATCAGTAAATAATAAGCATTTATAGTTTTCTATTCTATAGTATTATACTAAGAGAGAAACCAGAGAGAGAAAACAAAAAATATTTCTAAATGTGCCACCTAGGATAAACTCCTATGTGGTATTTTTTTTTATAAAAAATGGTTAAAAAAATTATACAATTACACTACAAGTCCTTGGAATTTTATAGAAATAAATTTTATCACACTTAATTTTATAATAATGGACGGTTAAAATTGTTTAAAACCAACCAACTAATATTAATAAGCAATTAATGTCATGAATTGAATGAGGAAAATTTTGAAGAAACAATATGGGATGATTTTCCACGATTTTTGACCAAAAAAAAGAACAAAATCCGTAGATTTGTTCGGAACCAATGAATCAGCAGTACACATTAAATAGTAGTAAGAGATGTCGTGAATAAGATGAGAGAAAATTTAAAGAAGCAATATTGGATGATTTCCCACGATTTCTGAAAATAATTATTTCTCATCCAAAAAAAATGAGCATAATCCATAAATTTATTTAAAACTAATCAATCAACATTAATTGTTTCGAATATAATCACGGAATCTGATCTCTTACGTGTTCAAAACATATCATAGGTTTGAATTTTGAATAAAATTTTGATATGAAAATTTTTTAATCAATTTATCTTTTTTCAAAATTTTATCACATTAATCCCTGGAAAACTGCACGTCGAAAGGAGTATATATGTATTTGAAGTGGCCATAAGAAAAGTTTATTCATGCATTACTGTTGTCAGATTTCTTACACTTTTTCAAATTTATACATTTGCTAACCATTTTTTCTTGCAATGTTTGTTAACAGGAGGCCATGCTTACAGCTTCATTGTCCACCATGGCGAAAATGCATAACACACGAGGTAAAATTTGTAGCATTCGATCTTATGCTTTTGATTTTCATAAATTTAGAAGGTTGACAAAAAAATTTTTTAGGGAAACAAATCAACGGCCAAATGAGATGTTTTAATCTGTTTTTGGTTACATGCAAAGAGCCTGATTTTTCACTGAAGATTTTTGATAGTGATGATTTTATGGGAGTGACCCATTAAGTAGATAAATCATGAAACAATGATCGTTTTCACAAATCGGGTAGTATTGATATATTGTTGATTGTAAATTTATGTTTGTTATGAATTAAGGTAATGCATAGATGAAGAACTGATGGCGACGGCAAAATTCATGGGGGACTATGACAATATGTTAGAAAAAAATATAAACGATAAATTATATACATATACATATATATATATATATATTCTTATTAATTTTTGGACATGGATTTCTCTAGCATGGTAGTTAAATCTACTGCTGGAACAAATGCTTTCTCACTTGAAAAATAGTGACTTACAAGATATGTGACTTAATAAGCATGTTCAATTTTCTGCAGGTGATTTTGTCATATTTTATTAAAATTCATGGGTTCACACTTTGTAGACACTAGATGAGGATTATTGTGGGATTATAAATGGAGGGGTTGAAGATTCAGGTTCTTTTTTTTTTTTTAATTTTTTTAATATCTGCATTTATTTACTATAAGATAGGGCTTTAAAGTAATTTTAATATAATTTTTTTTAAGAAAAGGGAAATTTGTGCCAACCACCAGTGACACCGCTGGACAAAACAATTTTTGTTTTTGAACTTAAATGATCTAAAATTCTTGAATGATAATAAAAAAAATTATAATTTTTTTTTAATGATAAGTCATTCTGGACAAAATCAGGTCTCCATCTTATATTTACATTAAGGGCTTTATTTATTTATAGTGTAATATTTTTTTTAAAGAGATGATGATCTAATTTATTTTTACTTATATAAAATTTCTTATTGCAATTCAACAATTTTATTTATATTGAAAACATTTAAAATTTGACATTTTTTTTTCAAATGCATGTGAATAAATCCCGCACATCGTGCGGGTTTAACAACTAGTATGTTACTATATTAGAAACAAAAATCATACTTAAGAGAAAGCACACAATGTGACATTTCCACATCATATTTTTAAAATAAATTTTTATTTACACATGTCCTAGACTTAAAAGGCAAATGCAGTTCAAATCCACCTCTACCTCCTATTTTCGCCAAAACAAAAAAAAAAAAAACTCAAATCCTCATCCTCATCTCCACGACAATCAAGTCCCTAATCAATCTCTTCTCCACAATTAAAAAAAAAACAAATTCCTCATCAATCATCAATTGAGAATATGTGGTGAAATATACTCATTTTCTATTAGCATGTTCAATCTTTTCATTAGTGATGATCAACTACATCCTAATCGGATAAAATTTTGACTTCAAAAAATATTCTCTTTACCTCTCTATATAAACACAAAGGAAAAAAAAAATTCTCATTGATCTTACTTCGGCCGTTGTGGTGGTGCCATTACAGGTATTAAAATTTAAATGATTTTATTTCCACAGATCATTTTTTTGGCTTTTATTATTTTTTGTTTTTCCCGTTCAAGAATAATGTTATTACTATTATTTTTATGCGTCCATCCGTTACAGCTACCATAGCCGTTGTCAGGTGATATGATGTGATTTTTTATATGGTTAGTTAGCCTAGAATTTTTGTATGATTTTAGTTCTATTTGGATTGAATTGATTAATTGAGTTTTTGTTACAAAGTGTGGTTTTTAAATTTTTTTTTTTTTATGTTTCATTCAATTGGAGTGATTTTTTTTTTTTAATTATGGAGTCTCAGGTTTTTTTTCCGTATATGGTCAGTTATGAAAATGTGTTTTTTTTTTGTTTAATTGCTTTTGATTTTGTTTCATAGTCTCAGTTAACCAATTATTATTATTATTATTTTATTTTATTTACAAATGAAGCGCGTTTTTTTTTTGTATTCGGGCTTTCAAGAATATATATTTTGGATTTGATTTTTGGGCTTTCAACAAGGAAAAAAAACTATTGGGAAATAACTAGGCCTCGTATTTAAATAGCTGAAGGTTTCTTAATTCTTATTTTTGTGTTGGAAGAGGTTATTAAAAGAGAAACGGGTTTCTTTCTCCTTTTGTTTCCTATCTTCCGATTTAGCATGGATTATAAATACGCGTGGGTTACCTTCTTTTTTTTCCTCGAACACGGTAGTATTTTAAACCATGGTATCTTTCTCTCTTTTTTTTTTTTTTCCGTGAGGTTCAATTGGCTATATATTGTGTTTGTTTGATTCATTATCACCGTCTATTATATCTTAATATTTTAGGCGTTTTATTTCTGCTTACCCTACCAAATATATATATATATATATATTTTTTTTTAAAAAAAAACTTAAGTATTGGATTGACCATCTCCTAATAGGAAACAGGAATGAAATTTGCTTATATACACCAACATCGCCTGCCTTTGCATGAAAAAAAACACAACGTGGTCATACACAAAACACCCACATCGATGTCGAGAAGGAGTAAAAGGTGTTCGTTCAGACCTCCAAGTCCACAACCATATCCTTGGTTGATGACATCCCATGGGGAAATCATCACGGGTAACCTCCTTTTATAGTGTTATGGAAAAAAATGGCACCACATGTCAAAAATCCCTAATGTTTCCGACAGGACTATCCACGCTAGTTGACAACAATGGGTGGTGCTATTGGATCACAAGACACTAGAATGTACTTTTTTGAACATGTTTTCGATGGAGCCAATCAAATTGCCGGATTTCACTGATTACCTTTCTCATTCTTATAGCTATTGTGTTATGACGGCACCACCTACAGCTTCCAACTGTGTGGTTGGATTCTTTGCAGACGACCAACCATTTGCCATGATATGGCGCCCCGGTCAGGCATATTGGTCAAAACAAGAACATGGAGACAACTGCTTCCAACTTCCGTGTGTCTGCAACGAAAAGATTTATGGTTTCACAGATACATTTGGTAGTTCTATCGCGGTGTTGTGAGCTTGTGGATGAGAAGCTTGTCGTTAAAAGATTAGGACCCTCCCCTGCAGATGGACCAAATTATGGAAGTTGGACCTGTGGGGATATTTTTGCGGTTCACTTGACAATGTTAGGGGAATCCAGATATAGACTTAAGTACGTTTATGTTTACAAGTTTGATGCGACCAATTTGAACTGGATTAAAGTAGAAAAAATTGATGATCGTGTATACTTTCTCAATTGTGATTCCACAATTTCATGCTTGGGAGGTAATTCACGTCTCAAAGGAAACTGCATCTATTTCACCAGGGCTTTTGAAGCCTGTAATTTATACATCTATGACATGGAAGACGATTCAATACACTCATTCAAACCTTGGCCAAATGCGGTCAACAATCGGTCATCGATTCGTTTTGTTATGATTGAACCATGAAGTTTTTCTTCTTTTCATTCTAGCGAAAAATTAATGCGGAGTTTGGCTGGGATTTTTGTGTTGGCTATAATATTGTCAAGTTGCTAATTTTTGAATATGTAAGAGTGGGCGACTTTATGCATTGCGAAAAGCCAGGAGCAGTCTAAGTTTGCTTTATGCATATGTAAGAGTAGACTTTTATATATATATATATATATATATATAATCGTTTATTATGCAGATGAAATGGAAGCAAGTTCGATGTTACTTTCTTTATGTTCCGAAATTATTGTCTAGTTTGAATTTTCAATTTTAGTATAAATTAAACTAAAATAAAAATTCAAACTGAAATTTATGACAGAGTATTTTTTATTCTACGCATAACAATTTTCTTTTGAAATAAAAATAATGCAATAATGGTGTGTATTTATGATAAGTTAAGGTTTTCCTATGATGTCATTTTTATTTTTTGGAAAATCAAATGAAACACCCAATCTAATCAGCCGAGTTGGGCATAAATTAAGAAAACAAGTTTTTGTTTTCGGTTTGCTTGTATTGAACTTTCGAACATCCGAATGTAGACTGTAGACAATCAAAAACAGTACTCTTTCTGTCCCAAAATTATTGTCTAGTTTGGGTTTTCACTTTTAGTTCATTTTATACTTTAAATGAAAATATAAACTGGACAATAATTTTGGGACAGAGGGAGTAATTATTATTGAATATTGAAACTTTCAAACACCTCAAGTTGTCAATACTACGTAAAAATTTAGTCCTGATGCACTACATTAATGCTATCAAACACAGATACACACAGTAAGACAATACATGACTATGGGATGTTGACGTCTGAAGGAATTCTGAAAACAAATGGTCAAATCGAAATCAACAAAAGATGCTTAGTTTAATTAAGGTGCAGCTGAATAAGTCTTGGTGCACATCGTAGCGCATGATCCTACGCAACCATCCATTTTATCCACATCTGAGAAACAAACCAAAAAATAGAGAGAGATATATATCAACAACACATTCGCTATTTCTTTTGGCTTCATTTTAGTGGAGACAGAAGAAGAATAAATAAACTAATTAAGGAAAACCATTCAACTTACTAGGATTATTGGCAGTGGTGGTAATCTTGGAGCAAGTGGAGAATGCACAACCAAGCTTGCAGAAATTATGGTTATGGGTTATCAATTTATCTTCTTGGAGGAGACCACCTGGTGTATCCGAGAAGATGCAATCTTTCAAGCAGTGAGTTGAACAAGAACACAGTGTTTGAGAAGGCTCAATCATGCAGAAGATGAAGCACTTGGCATAGCAGTCCTTGAATGAAGCAGCTGAGTTTCCCACAAGCATTCCCATGGCTACCATAAAAACCATCACAAATGCCCTGAATTTCATCATCTTCTCTTTGGGTTTTTCTCTGAATTTCAGTATTGAAGATCTATAAAATGGAAGAAGTGAAGCTTACCTAACTTAATGCACTAAACTCTCAACAACACTTAGTTTGTGGGAATTTGGATGGTGTGTGTGCATATATGTTATATGGAAATTGGGTAACCGCCCTGCAGGTGCATGCACTAGTGGACTAATCACTAATTATCCACTTTAGTCTGACTTTACAATAAGGACAAATATTGATCACAAAATGGAATTTCTAATGTGACCGAAAAAAAAAAATTTACAATTGCGATTCGATAAATTATTACTTCTATTAATTAATCGTGTCATGAATATTATTGCATGAATTCCAGACTAATAAAATACAGTAGCGACATTAGAAACTGTACTTAATCTATATACATAATCCAAACAATTTTAAAGTTATAACCGCATTTTTTCACTCCAACTCGTAACCATGATTACATGAACTACTTGTAAGCGGATCTTAACATATTCCTGTACATTATTCCCTTCGATCTTTATTATAAGACATTTTGATTTTGTATTACATTACATTTAGGATATCTTTTTAATTGAGAAAAAAATCTTAAAAATATATTTTCACATTCTTTGTGTTCTCTTAATTATTAAAAAATATTTTTAAGGTTTTTATTCCAATTAAAAAGAAATCTTAGATGAAACTTAGACAAAATTAAAATGTCTTATAATAGAGACCGGAGGGAGTAATTTCTTGTTTGCCTTCTTTTGTTCGGAAGGGGAAGACATGAAATTCTGGGAACCACAAAATTTGGTCCTGAAACAGAATCATTGTCAGTGTGTTTTTTAGCTCTACGCATTCGGATCCTAACACTTACTCACATGATGAAGAAAACCTGTGTATTTTCACCTCTTCACCACACATATCATCTTACATTAGGGACCAATTGGTTCACGGATGGTCTTTAGTTTAACTTCAACCAATCAAAAGTCTGCTAGTCGTTTTGATTAATATTCTAAAAAAGGTCACGGACCAAACAGAATACTGAAAATTATTTATTTTGAGCTACTGGATATAATTCAAACTCGTTTCGACCAAAAAATAAAAAAAAAACTGAAAATTACACTCTTTGAATAACATGAGTCTTTACTCGAACAGCAAATATGTATAATTATCATTGGAAAATGTCTATCTCCGATTTTTGACCCAAGCATCATGTGGATTCTTTTGAAACTTGAGATTTCATCAGAGAAGTAGGAAAGAATTAAAAAGGGTTTACCCCGGATTTTTTTTTCTTTGGGGAATGTCTCCATAAGCAAATCTTTTTTAAGGTTTTCACACAAGTGTGGCAATGATTTGGCTAATGATAAAAAAAAAAAAACAAGAAAAAGAAAAATGGACTTAAGAAAATGATTTGGTTCGTCGTTTTCCATACTTCTAATCCAAAAGAGAATCAGTGGTTACGGAAATTTCATGACCGATTTGACAGTCGTTACATGGCGAACTTTAATATAATATACTAATTTCTTTTTAACTTAGATGATGATTTTCACTATCGCTATTTATTGCGATGTATATATAGTAAATATGTGCGTTATCTTTGTAATTGTTGTATTTACCTTAATTAGTGTTTTGTATACCGTAATTCTAAGGATTGATTGATACGTAGTTTACTGTATATAACTTACCCTAATATCAAAAGCAACGGCAAGAGATTAAGCCGCTTTCCTTTGATCTCTTCGTTCTTCTCATGGAATCAGAGCACATATTTACTATATATACATCTCAATACTATTCCACTAAAAATTTGACGCAATTCAAAACTTATTTAAACGAAAATCTAACTATTGAATTTTCTGATACATATTGAGAAGTCAATAATGTAAACAAGAAATTTTGGGTAAAGGGGAAGGGGGGAACCTTCGATCTTGCGTCCATATTGGCATCGTGTGGTCTAGACTGACGAACTGGTCGACAAAACGGGAAAGTCGACTCTTATTTTTACAATCGTACTTTTTTTGCAAATGCAACTATGCAAGTGTGCAACTTCAAGAAACCAAAATAAAAGGAGTGAAAAAAAACTTGAGAACTCCCCGTCGACTCGTTCGTCGAGATATTCAAACCAACGAATAGGCCGACGAATATGAAATTTGACTCCTTTTTTTTATTTTTTAAAAAATATATTTTATCAGAGTCGATGGAATCAAAATTTATGCTCTTGTATCATTTTCGTGGTTGTTATTTGATTGTATCATAATTAGGTAATAAATCAATTTCGGTGGGTAGCCGGAGATTGAAATTATGTAATGGATTGAATTGAATGGTTTCGAATTTTCTCCTTTGTGGCTAGAATCGCAAAACAAGGAATTCAGCTATACTAACAGGTTTGGAATGCCATCAATTTTCCTTGAAATATTTTTATTAAAGAAAATCCTTCTTCCGAAGCATACACTAATCAATAATGGTAATTTAACGCCGAAAGGCAATGAAGGCATCCCACCTAATTATCGTATACTCTAAGAACTTGTACCCTGCACCGCCTTAAACATGGATTTGCCACGCATTTGACACGTGAACTTTACAATTCTTGCAATCATAGTGTAACTCAAACGTGGAAAACCACACAAGTCACATCTGGACATCTGGTTTGAGATCTAACAACTAACCATCGTTTCCGAACTTTTACCAAATACCGGGGTTTATTTTCCGTTCCATCTTATCAGAAGTCTTTCCCTTGTTAAAGCTAGTTTCCACCGGTAGAAAAACTATTTGTTATCATACCATGATGATATTCTTTCCATGTAAACATATAATACAAATTTCAAGAAAATGATCCAAACATATATTTTAAATAGATGCGATCTCTGGTCTTACTTTTCTTAATCTCCATTTTTCTACTACTATATGCTCCTTCTGTGTTTTAAAATTCAATGCGAACAATTTTTCTGAAACGGATAGAATATAAATTTTCAGTGATTTTAAACACATGATACACGTTAAAATCCGACATAAATAACGTTGTTGTCGCTTCAAACTTATCTCTCGAAAAATTCGGATTGCGTGACTTAAACAAAAAGTCTATATTCCATGGTAAATGACACAATGATACTGAATCAAATCACCAATATTGGTCAGTGAAGAAAGAATTTGTGACATATGGACAAGTATCCTTGATGAAATATGGAGGCAATCACTAATCAGACACGTTAATTTCTGGTCAGATCTTAAAAAGGGAAATTTTTGGTGTACATAGCTCACTACGAAAAGTCGGCCCAAGTTATTCCGACTAGTACATCTTTGTAACTGGGCCCGGCTTCTATTTTATTTTTACCATATCGGCCCTAACTAAAATTTAAAAAACCACCCCGAATAATAACTCTGTTCCGACCCACTTGCTAAAATCATCAATCCCGCTCAACTTTTCAAGTCTTCATTTCGAAAAGGTACCTGTACTCATTCTGCGAAGAACTGACCACCACACACACCACACACTGAAACACACAGTAAAATGCAGACAAATCGTCTGATGTTTTCTTCATCTTGATCAAGCTCAGGGAAGGGTTTTCTTCTCCGATTTGGGCTAGATTGTGCTCAAATGGCAAGCATCTCATCTGTTTCTGAAGTGGTGGATCCACTGCAGTCCCTATTTGGGGCTTCCTTATTTCCGCGAACAATTAGGGCGGCGACGAATGCGCCCTTGCCGTCCGACCCAAGAGACCTCGAGTCGGTTCATCAATTCATGAAATCCGTGGTAATTTCCTGATTTTCTTCAATTTTCTTTTCGTGTCCTTTCTCTGAGCGTCTGTCTGCTAGTTCTCCGAATGGATGAATCTTTTGACATGTTTCCATGTGAAAAGAACATTCGTTTATGATATATGCTTTGTATGAAGTTGGCATCTGGCTAGTTGAAGGTGGGCAGTTTAAGATTTTGCTTTTTTCTAGAATTAAGTGACTTTGGCCTTTGGGCATCTTCTGGTACCACGTTCTGGTTAATTAGTGTAAAACAACTTTTTTTTGTGTGAGTAATTATTATAATTTCGTTTTGTTTTCCCCTTTTTAATTGGTGTCAGTTAATATACCAGCAGTACCTGATTTAATCCCATGTTTGTAATGTATTTTCTTGTTGTATGTTTTCTATGGTTATTTGAAGACATTAAACAGCCCTGATAAGCTTTTAAATGAGGCCAAGGCTATTGTTGGTGCCGGTTCAGAGCTGTTGAAATCTAGGTTTCCAGGGTTTATGGAGTCTCTAGGGATAGACAGAAATGCTGTTGCTCCAGAAGGAAAGGAAAATCCTCAAGAGAGAAGACCGGGTCTTGGCTGCAAGCGCCCTCGATTCTCTCTGAAGAAAGATATGAGGTAATGTTTAGTAGGGCCTTCTTTCTATTCTTTCTGGATTCTGTTTCCGGGTTATGGCCTCCAAAGAGTATTATTTCTTTCTTCTGCTGTATAGAAGTTAGTATTCACTGTTGCTTCTTGATGTGATTGACTCTAGGTCCTCTGTGAGTTCGGAACCAAATGTGAACTTTAATCAGCTGTCGGACCCAGAAGAGTTTTTCTCTGCTTTTGAAAAAGCTGAAAGTAAATATTGTTTACTGACCTGTCTGTAGTTGCAAAGATCTAAAGAAATATTTCCTTTATTGCGTGGATTTAGTTTTAAAGTTCTCATATCTCTTCAATTTATTTATTTATTTATTATGAAAAACCCATTAACAGATGCCAGAAGAGAGATTCAAAGACAAAAGGGTGGAACTATGTCTGATTTAAATAACTATGATCAATCCAAGCATAAACGTGGCCGGCGACCTGGGATTCTGGGGTAATAATACTGTTGTTCTGTTAATAGGTAGTGTTAGTGAACAAAAGTGTTTTGACTCTCCATAATGACACAAAAATTAACTCTATCAACCCAGGCGGTCTGTCAACAATTATAAGCATCGATATTCCTCATCGATGACGGAGAACAGTAACTATGCTATATCCACCCTAGAGATGGAGGAACTCGATATTCCTGGTTCACCTACTTGTGAATCAGCAGAAGACAAGGCTGATACTGACATTGAAGCTCAAGAGACAATGGAGGCTGGTGAGTGGAGGTTAACATATTTTATGCTTGCAACTGTCACTCTGTCAGAATTTATATAGTTAATTACTGCCTTATAATCGCCGTCAGTTCCACCTGGGATTGTTGAATAAGATTAGCTGGTGCTTAAAAGAATGTTTTTTTTTTTTCTTTGTTGCGGGTGTGTCTTCCCTTGTTTGATAATGTTAGCTATCTAAACTTTCTTACAGGATCCATAACAGAGACGGATGAAGGATTGAACAATACTTTAGGTGAACTTTTGTCACAAAACATCGAAGATATTGATGAGGATGGCGTTCAAGAAAAATTGAATATCAGCTCTATTAATCCTGGCAAGTTATCCCTTCCTGAATTTCATGGCGTTGGAAGGACTGATTTCATGGCATTTGGAGAAAAGCTGCCAAAGGTTAGGAAGAGTTTGGCCAACATATCTAATCTGGGTGAATGGTTGAGTGTGGAAACAAATGTGAAGCAAAAAAAAGGAGGGAGCCCCTTTGCAGAAGCTTCTCCCACATCAGGCTCAATGACTTTGTTGAAAAAGCGCAGTTCACAGTCCAGTTCTGTGAGGGACCCATTCTCGCCTCTTAACATGGATCCATCGGTTCTTAGAAATATGTCTTCTGGGAATGATACTGGTGGACAACCTCAGACTTCTGTACTGAAGGAGTTGAGTGTTTTTGGCAACTTGGAGCGACAATTCGAAAATGAATCAGGAAGTGCTACACCTTCCCATGTGGAGTCACAGACAGCAATTACTAGCGCTTCAGATCGTCTGGATAACTGTGATCAAGACAAAAACTTGCACCCGGAAAGTATGCATACGAATTCTCGCCCAACAAAATCGCAGTCTGACTTTGTTGAGCAAGGTAGCAGTGGATCAATTGATGCTAGTCAAAACACAACTACAGATGGAGGAAATGTTGATCCAGTCATTGCACAGGACAGAAGTACCTATAACGTAGGAATCAAAATCTCAGAATAGCCCCAGTTTTTTTTTGGATCTGGCAAGGCCTTAAGCTGTGTCTGGTGTGAACTTGCAGGTTGCTGATAACCACAAAGCTGAAGTACAGTCCAATCCCCATATTGATGACTCCCCACAAATTGGCAGTGATACTGGTGTTCATGTACATCATTTGCCAGAGGTAGGAGGGAATAGCTGTCTTGCCTGTATGATAAGAATTATGACATGAAGCCAGTCAGTGAGTTTTATAATCTTATTCCGCATAATGAATTGTAGGAGGAAGAAATGCCACTGGCAGCTTCCGTTCACGCAAGTCCGGAGGTCAGCATGCCCCAATCACAGAGTTTGGAAAACCTGTGTAATGATCAGCCTTTCATGGGTATGGTTATTAGCTTCCTTTTCCCCACTTTATTTACTTAGTTTTCTGCCCCAATCACTAAGTTTCTTGTGCCTTTTAGATTTCCCCCCCTGCAAAAATTTGATCTGGTATTTTGGTAGTTTTGACATTCAAAATGTGTAACAACTTTAAAATAATATGCTATATCTAGTCATGGCTTTTACCAAGTTGCTAAGTTAGGCATGATTTTTTGAGGAATTAACAGTGAGTCATTTGTAAAAGGGAAGTTGCAGCTTAGAATAACTCTAAACCTAGAAATGGAATTATTTTCTCGCGTATGCAGGTATGAATGGGCTCCTCTCCTGCTGTAACTGCAGATTATGTTATGGAAACTTTCATGGATGATATGCAACTATTTTGAGATGATAAAAATAGGCATAAGATACTTGGAGTTTCCAGTTCCACTGTCTGAAGCTGTTCTATTTGATCATAGATACACATGCTGAAACTGATTTGTGAACAAGCTTTCTGTTATTATATGTGTTTATTTACATCAGCTTCCACCATAGCTATTCTTCTTTGTATTCCTTTAGCCTTGAACAGCCCATCTGGTTTTGCATTGAAAAGGTGGTGCTTCTTTCTGCTTGGGTGATCTGTAATTCTCGAAGGGGTTGCTTTTGTCATTTTATACGATACAGTAGAGGCGGACATTTACGCAACTGGATTGAATGTTATGATCTGAAAGTATCTCATCTATCTGTTCCTCCTGAATTGCATTAACCTTTTCCCATTTCATTCACTTTTATATTTCATGTTTTAGCAGGTCAACCAAATCCTCCTGCAACAGAAGACGACTCTATGATTGCTTCCTCAAAAGAATCCAAGGTTTGTGTCTAGATCTTATTCTCTCTTCTTTCTTGTTGCTTCAAATCTAGGCATAGAGTGTTTCATATACCACGAGTTATTTAGTGTCATAATCTGCTTGGAAATGTCTTGAAATTCATATGTAAAAATCTTTGCTGAACTTTACTTTTAATCCAAGTCATGCAAACATGAAAATGTTATGTATTTGATCCAAGGGCATGGTTTTTGAGCTTGATAAGTTAAGGGTTTGAGTCCAAACATTCAAGCACTAGTCTCTTCTCGTATTGTCTCTTATGTGTTTGGATTGATACTTAGCATGGATATGCTGTAGAATTTTCTCTGTAATTGTTTCTATTCATGATTATTCAATCCAGAATATGCTGAAGAGGTTTCACTTTTGGTGTACCTGTTCTTTAAATTTCTCTCTTTTGAGGTTTCACTTTTGATGTACCTGTGCTTCCAGAAGCTACAAGCTAAGCCGAAAAGTAGGGCTAAGAGACCACGGGATGAAAGTCATGAAGTAAAAGCACTTTCTCGTAGGAAAAGTCTTCCAGGTTAGGCCAAGTGATTGATAAACTCTTTTCGTGTTCCACTCTTTGTAGCAGTTTTACTTGAGCTTGAGCGTCTACCTGCTGAAACAGATTTGTAAACAGGCTTTCTGTTATTATTTGTCTATATTTACACTGGCTTCTAGCATATCTATTCTTTGAGTTTCTTCAGCCTTGAATTATATCCATCTGGTTTTGAATTTAAAAAAAATGCGGTACCTCTTCCCACTAGTGTAAGTGGCGGTTCACCATTTCAATTTATTTTCTTTTCATTGCACTAAGACTGTTTTTGTCCTTTTGTACAATTGATCAGGAGTAGACATTCTTGACGAACAGAATGAAAGTTATGATCTGAAAATATCTCACGAATCTCTAACTTATGAACTATATTAACCTTTCCCCCTCTTGCTTTCTTTTCTGTTTAATCTTTTAGCAGGTCAACCGAATCCTGCTGCAACTGAAAACAATTCTGTGATTGCTCCCTCAATTATGGTTGATATTACGACCACAACAGAGTCCGAGGTTTGTCTTTGTTCTAATCTCTCTTCATTCATGTTGCTTTACATCTAAGCATAGAATTTTTGTAATTGGTGTATCTGATGATTGATTTTTTTAATATATATACTATGAGTTATATTATGTCATAATCTGCTGGGATACGAATTTTTTAAAACTTCATCTGCAGTGTTTATTTTTCCCTGAGCTTTATATGTAACCCAAGCATTTGTACTTGAAAAGTTCATCTATAACCATCCAGGCACTTGGTTGTTTTGTGGTTGACAAGGTAGAGGTTTCATAACATTTAAGGAGTAACCTCTTCTAATATCATCTCTTTTGCTCGCATTGTTGGTATAGTTTAAGGTCTCTTAATGACATTCGCAAAATTCTTACTCATCTGTTTAATTTTACCTAGTCTGTTTGCACAGATGGAGCGGAAACTGATTAGTTTTTGCTTAATTTTTTTTTAAGTGTTTGGGCTGATACTGAGCATGAATATACTGTAGAATTTTCTTTCTCTTGTTGCTCTTTCCATTCAAGAATATGCTTGAGAGGTTTCATTCACTCTTGATATACCCGCATTTCTGTGATAGCAGATGCTACAGCCTAAGCCGAAAGGGAGGGAAAAAAGAGTTCGGGGTGAAAATCGTGAAGTAAAAGCACTTTCTCGAAGGAAAAGTCTTCTTGCAGGTTTGGCCAAGTGATTGAAAAACTCTGTTGCCTACATAGCTTTTTGCCCAAATATTTATCATGATCACTGATTTTGCAGAGGGTGGTACTTCATTTGAATCCGGGGTAAGAAGAAGTAAGAGAATCAGGTCTAGACCTTTGGAATTTTGGAAAGGGGAAAGGTTCTTATATGGCCGTGTCAATGAGGGTAAGTATCTTTCTGTTAGTCATCTTCCGTATCTGGTGTTTGCATTGCAGTTGTCTCTCCTTGTAGACATACCTGGAGGGTAGCCAAGTGTTAATTTTCATTACCTGTTAAACCTATGTGGTTACACGATTCGATATGTTCATTGAATAGTTGACTGTACTTGTATTCTGCTGCAGGTTTTAAGTTGATTGGACTGAGATATATATCTCCAGGTAAAGGTGATGGAAAACTTAAGGTTAAGCCCTTTGTCTCCGATGACTACAAGGAGATCCTTGATCTTGCAGCTCTTCATTGAGCTCTGCTACATTGCTCATTAAGTTACAACCGTGAACTCATCTCGGATTCAGGCAATATGATTGGATGAAAGCTCTACTAAATTGTCAATATGTAACAATCTCCCGTTGTCTTTGTATCGTACCAGTAAAACTTGAGTAGTAGCGGTGAAACTGTTGTGATGTATTTCCATTTTCATCTAGACTGATGTCTTCTTGTGATGGTGATTGTTGTGATGCTTTTGAAAATTAGTTGCTGGTTACAAAAAGCAAAAACAATTCAAAGAACAATACTACCTTTTTAAACCGGGGAGAGAAGAACATCTTAAATTATCTTTTTTTAATCATTTTATTGTTATTCTCTTTCGCTTAGGCTTTTAGAGTGTATCTTACCTAGTCATTTGCTTTTTCGCATTCTGATATCTTGTTGTTCTTTGTCATTTGCTTGGATTCATTTCCTTTCGATTTTACTACATTCTTTGTTAAAGAATAAACTGTATGGACCTTTTTAATGTCAAACTTATATGTATTCATTCTTTAAGAAAGGTGGTAAGGGTATGATGCAAAGCCATAATCCTGAACTAGCAACTGCATGGACTTAAACCTCAATATTAACGTAATCCAAAAACAAGCTTTTTTGTATCGTAGAGTTTATTATTGTTTCATTGCCGTTAAGTGCTTTATATATATATATATATATATATATATATATATATATTGGTTGTACTAGTAGTTTTCTTTGTAAACAATAATGATATACTGTCTCCGTTTTGTTTATAAAAAAAATTTCATTTTGTTGAATTAAAATAACACAGTAAAGTGAACCATCTTTCTAAGATAGAAGGAAATGATTAGGTTAATTATGCATACATAGCTCTATGCATTAAATACTACATAGCTCTCACACCCGTCTTCACTGGTAATAACTAATAATAGCACGGTGAATCGCTTTCACAACTTATTTTCTTCTCTCATTGAACGTCAAAATTATTTCTCCAGTAAGATACTGAAACTGGAAAAAATATCATGTACTACTGGCCGTGAATACGGTAAAAGTATCATAAAATGTAATTATTCCTTTTCTTAATGGAAAAAAAATTAAATAAGCCAACAAGCATATGTGTATTTATTTCACCTTTTAAATACAGTCCACACTATGCAAATAAGGAAAGAGTACTTAGATAAGTAACTTGTTATTTAAGATTAATGAAGATACTCTCATTTTAGTAAAAGAGTTACACTCCTGCATTACTTGCACAAACTCTCGCTCTCCCTTCATTTACCTAGATTTGTTTCATCAAAACCACATCTATAAATACTACTAATTAATATGTACATATTTGGTAAGACGTGATTTTTGCCAGTTGATCAACTCTTCCTTGACTTGTGACACTTGAAATGATGCACAGAGAAAACTGATTGTAGCTAGAATACCTTGCCATTAACCTAGTTCTTTGCTTGCATGCAACACTTCCCAAAAATAAGCTTTGTTGAACATTTCCACTGCAGATAAAGCAAGCATAGTAGACAACCGTTGCACAATGAATCATGTTATAGACCGGGACAACATCAGCACTTGCAGCTGTTAGTGTACACTTTCAGCAGCAGTAAGCCAGTATATATGACTATATATGAAGGGGATCCATATCATCAGTTGAGACCGGATTAAGATAAATTAGTGATATGCAGTACATTCCCCTCAGAATTCGTACGTTTTTCTAGGCAACTGAGGATTTCCTACACACCGACTATAATTTATTTTCTGCCCAGAATAATAGTAGTTGATAAATAATCGATTACCAAAATGGAAGAAGGATTGAAGATGCAGTAACAGCGATAGTATGTCAACAACTAATAACTTGTCCAAAGGAATGCATATCTTTCTAGAAAGCTCTTTCCAAAGTAATCATTGAATTGATAACCTAAAGAATATTATTATAAGACATTTTGATTTGCACTAAGTTTCACCTACCATAATTTGTCGATTTGAAAAAAAAAATCTTTAAAAATATATTTTACATTCACTGTGTTCTCCTAATTATTAAGAAACATTTTTAAAGTTTTTAAATTACAAAAACATATTAAGTGAAACTTAAGACACATCAAAATGCTTCATAATAAGGACCGGGAGAAGTATTATTTATGATTTTAATTTTGATGAGAATTTGACATGTGGAAAAAAAAACTCCAAATAAATAAAGAAATGCAAATAGACTAATCATACGTAGCTTTGGGAAATGGCTTAAAAATGATCATCTTTAATATATCTATATCTATATATATATAGATATAGATTATATGTATACTCATGTTCAATAATTTATAAACTAACAATTTCAAATAAAAAGGATTAATACGACTAGCAAAACGTGCATAAATAACACTAACAATTATATGTAAAACAAAATTGAGAGATAAATAACAATATGCCTAGCGTAGTTTTTATTTTTTTTATTAAGAATTTGTATTTGGAAAAAATGTTTTGCTAGAACAGTGATATGAGAGTTTTTTCCAATAAAAATTTTATTTCATTTTTTTCTCTTTTGACATTGAAACATTGTTTAACAATTTCTTGATGATCCCGCGTCACCAAAGCTCTAATTCCCAATTAATTAGAAGAGAAAAGAGGAAGAATTAGGGCTTGTATTGATGGCCTCTCATTTTACATTTTTGTCAAATTTGACTATTAATCACAAAAGCAATGTAAAATAAAACAATATCCATACAACATTTTAACTTACTTTTTAAAAAATATTTCAAATATTATTTTTACACAATTTTTATTCACTACCACTGGACCACCTCCACCACCGTCTCCCGTTGTTAGACTAGTGTCAACCAGATTCCGGCCAAATTCCGGTACCACCGCCTGCCGGCTGTGAAGCGGGGATGGTGGTGGTGAAAAAATAATATTATTTTGTTTAAAATACTATCCATACAATTTTTTAAATTTTCTCTTAAACCTCATTTTAAATCACACAGCAGACATAAGTCTTCTCGGTTGCCCACACATTGGTCCATTCTTCCGCCGCTTCCTGCAATTAATGCTCGTTGCCGGAACAGTTCCGTTGCTTCACTCACAAAGCTCCTTTTCGTCTCAAAAGATGAATCTTTCGGGACTTTGGAAAAATCAGCTCCCGCTTGGAGTGATGATCATCATTTGCTGAGTGCCCTTTTTGAGGCATTTCTAAAGCTTTCAAACTCCGATCTTTCAGTCCTATCTGTCAGATAAGATCTTTCCATCTAGGTATTTAAATCACATCTCAAACTCAAACCAAAAACTAAAAAAAAAGGTTGTCCATTAATTAGAATTATAAGTCTTCATAGTTCATAGTACATTAATGTTATTCCCTCTATCTCAAAAGAAAAAGTCTACTATACTTTTGAGATTTATATTTTTATCGAGTTTTGAGATTTGTAATAAAAATTTCAGAAATTGATGTAAATACAATTATAAATCTCAAAACTCAAATCTCAAAACTCAGAACTATATGTTTTTTTTTGGACAAATAAATCTCAAAACTCAATTTCTTATAAAAGCTAAGCCAATTTCTGTTCATTGACCCAATGACAGAAATTGGCTTAACTTCTACAATTAACATGTGCATGTCCTCAGTTTGGTTTGGTTTTGCTTTAAGTTGTTTAATAGGTTCAACATTTGCTTTGCTAAATTTCAAATTCTATCCATATGCTTTGGAAATGGCCGGCAAAAAATGACGTCAAGTGGTAGTGTTTCAGCTCAATTATGGCGAGCAAGAAGTGGTATTCAAATGACGAATGTAGTCGACTTAAACTCCAAAGAGCCCATACATTTTTTTGCACTATCTAAGAACAATTGTTATGTGGTGACAACAATTGTCATGTGGTATCAGCATACAAAAGAAATATATCACTTTTCAATATATTTACATTTACTATCAATATTAGAAATTTCACTTTCTTTGTTGTCTCATTTTTTCTATTTTTGATGAACTTTTTATTTTTTTTGTGTGTGTGTGTGGACTTTGTTGAAGTTCTTCTTTTTGGTGGTTTCTTTGCTGACAATGGAATCATTTAAGCGTCTATCACCGAGTTCAACTACTTTTCTGTCATTTTGCCCTTGAAATAATAATGTCTTTGCTATTGGTATGGATGACTCGACCATATAACAAGTCAATAAGGATGAGGTGTGTAGTTATTCTAAGCTGTAATCTTACAAAAAACTCTATGGTTTATTAGTAGTAATCAAAAGCAAATAGTCTCTGTGCTTTATTAATAATTCTCTTCTATTTATGCATGTGCTACACACGCTAAAGGAATGCCATTTGGAGAGAATAGTTGGCATTGCCTTTTCTCACAAACTCAAGGTGATGGTCTCATTCTGAGCCGAATCTCAGGTTAAATAATTTTCCTATTTTCTATTTGCATTGATTTTTACTCAGCTTTATAATGAGACATGAAACGATGGAATAAGCAAAACTTAACATGTTTGCAACCTCCTGCGGATAGGACTACATCAGATACTCCGGTGCACTTTCATCAAAATCAGAAACACTTCCTCGTTGTCCATGATACTTAGCTTGGGATATAGGATGCACCAGAATTAACGCGTTTGAAAAAGGTGAGTTGTTAATGCACTAAAAATGCAGATGTCAGACGCTACGTAAGATTTCAACTAATTGGTTTTTCTCTCCCGAATCTTTTGCACAAATATCCCATGCAACATATTCGTTTGATGGCAAAATGGTATATGCTTGCTTTGTTGATGCATCTATCTGTGTGTTTAATGTTGCTGTTACTGCTGCAAAATAAGAGATAATATGTAGAATTCATCCTCTTGAGTATATATCAAACGTCATGTACTTATCTAATATTTGTTGATAAAATACCATGTTTGGATGTCAGCAATAAATTCTACAGGCGGTTGATGAACCATCTAGTTGACTTCATATTGCATCTCAACGGCAATACAGCCCGCCACCATCTCGTGATTGCCACACATCCAAGTAATCGAAGTCGGTTTGCAGCTAGTACGTCAGATGGTGTTCTTTATGTCTTTGAGCCCCGTGAGTTTGATAGCAAATGCGATATCTGGGGTCTCCTATTGATTTCCCAAAATGGATTTAAAAGTGACCAAACAAAAAGGTTATTTTGAAAATGCATGGGAGTTTCAAAGGTCCTACATTCTTACTAAATTTCTTGTTCCTCACCCTTTTGCTATGCTTAGGAAAAAATGAAACTGAAAAGCCGTCATCACACTAGTCAAATAATAATTACCTACTTAATACAATTACTAGTGGTAAAGTAGCAAGCAGGGTCGATCCCACAGAGAAGGAATACTAATTACCAGGTATAATTTACTCCTATTATTATCTAGATAAATGATGATTTCAGATTTATAAAATTTAAAACTAAAATAAATAAAATAAAAACAAATAATATTAATTCAAATAATTAGACAAAGAAAACCTAGGACATTGGGTTCACCTACCGAATATTTGGTTTGATTCAATTCATAAATATATGATAACTTCCATTAATCTCACAACGATT